CTTTTCCAGAAATTTTCCCATGCGCCATCGACTCTGTATCAAGCAAGGAGTGGGCACTTCGAAAATTCCTGATTATTTTTGTCCCATATTTAATTCTTTATAATTTAATATTTATTTCATCTCATTATCTTAAATTTGAATGAAGTTATGGCATACCCTGTAGATATGTTTAAAAATATTTTTACATTAAAAAGACTCTCGGACATTGAACTTAATAAATAAATCTTAATTCTATAAATGTAATAGATTTTTATTAGTTACATACCTGTATTAACTACCCTCCCCTCAAATAATTACCCTTTATGCTGATTTGAAAAATATTTGTTGTCTTAGTAAAAGTTCTGGCTAAGTCTTAACTTTATTTATATTTTTTAATTATTTTAGATAAATTTTCTGTTAATTAGTGGAAAAAATATTTTTTAATTAATACACCTTTTTATTTTATAATATTAATATACTATTTATGTATGTAAAATTATAAATTTCCAAATTAATAAACTAAACAAAATTTACTTTATTTTTAATTTTACTTTTTAAAAATCAAATCAAAAAAATTTTTTTAGTAAAACCACCCCATTAACCACTTTTATTTAGCTCATTTTACCCAACACAGATGTTTTTATTTTTGTTATACGTATGTATATTGATTGCAATAGGGTAAAGGACTCACAGACAATTGGACAGCTAAAAATTGGATAGCTTTACCACATCCCTCATAAAATTGGCAGAAATCCCTCATAAATAAATTTTTAAAAACAAACGCTATTAATACATAATCTTATTAATTTAATCATAGGGTTAATTATAATTTAATTGGTTAACTTTAAAATTAAATGAACTATGCACTTGTTGCATAGTTCATTCCCTATATCTCTTAATCCCACATATCCTTCTTAATCTCCTAATATCCGTCCAAATAAAAAAATCAAGAATCAAGGCCTGGGTCCAGGCAAAAATAAGCCTTGATTTTTCATGACTCAGGGCCCTTGATCTGGTCAGAGTCCTCACCTAAAATCAAGTATCAAGGTCATGGTTTTTTTGAAGATCTCGCTCTATACTAAGTAAGCTAGAATTTTCCAATCTAAATTAAACGTCAAAGTGTCCATTGCCCAATTGTCAACACACGGGAAAAGGGCAATAATGCTTCCTTCCACTATAGTAATGAAAAACATAGTTGGTTTTCCATACATATATTATAGCAGCAATTTTAATGGAGGAAGGATGCTTTTGCGGCCTTAGGCTAAAGATAAAATAAAAATACTAAAGCCCCTAAACAAAAATCATTTTCGCTAGTTTATGATAATTAGTAATGGACTGTTTTTAAACTTTTTAGTAATATTTTTATTATGTACATGTAATATTTAAAATAGTATGATTAATATAAATATTTATTAATAACACATTCAATAATTTAGTTATTTCCATTTCTCCTGATCTGTTTTTAAATTTATTTTGATCTAAAATTTAAAAAAATACTTTTATGTATTTAATTTATTTTCTTTTTTTTCTGAAAGGAATCCGGTTTTTTTAAATAATTATTTCACTCCTCACATTTTGTCGTTTTTTACTTAAAATTAGAAAAATATTTATGTATAATTTAATTTAAATTTTATTTAAATAAAAATAATTTATATTGTCCATAATATTTTTACATTATAATATACATATACATAGATTTTATTATTTAATATTTAACATTTTTTAAATAATTCTTATCAATTTTTCAACTTTTGTAAATTTTTTTATTTTATAAAAATATACCCCCAGGCAATTTGTTTAATTAAAAAAATTATTTTTTAATTTTTAGTAAAATAAAATTATTAATTATGCGACAATCAAAACATTTCAAAGGTGGAAAATTTAATACTGTTATTCATTGTGTGCCTCATCAAAATGCTTGGATAGTTGAACGGATGGGACGTTTTCATCGAATTTTGGAACCCGTAAATTACTAAAATATTTGAATTAAAATAATTAATTCCAAAAATAATCATTAACTAATTTATTAAATCTAATTAAATTAGAAAAATTAAATCTTTCAATTTTCAACAGTTAACAATTTTCTGATCAGAAAATAATTCTAATAAAATTCCAAAATATTAATATCAAAAATAATTTGCTTTAAATAAATTTAATACTCTTAAACTTTTTGTCAATTTTTGAAGGGTGTCCATTTTCTAATCCCTTGTGTTGATGAAATTCGCTACCGACATTGTTTAAAAGAAATGTGTATTGAAATTCCCCAACAAGAAGCTATTACTAAAGATAATGTCCAGTTAGACCTAGATGCTGTTTTGTATGTTAGGGTTACTGATCCTTATAAAGTAATTGATAAGTAATAATTTAAATATTCAAAAAATTGAAAAAGGCTTCTTATGGTGTTCAAAATCCGGAATATGCTATAAGTCAATTAGCTCAAACAGTAATGCGAGCAGAAGTAGGCAAATTAATGCTAGACAATGTTTTCCATGAAAGGGCTAATTTAAATATGACTGTTGTTGGTAATAACAACAATTTTTGGAATAATTTTTAAATTAAATTTTAGAAGGAATAAAGGAATCAGCAGCCCCGTGGGGTCTGATTTGCCTTCGATATGAAATACGTACAATGACTATGCCGCCTGAAATACAGCGGGCAATGAAAGTAAACAAAAGAAAATAATTATTTTAAATTAACTAAAAATTAAGATGCAAGTTGAAGCTGAACGAAAAAAGAGAGCAATGATTCTCGAATCTGAAGGTATTTGTGAGGCTGCAAAAAATAAAGCAGAAGGAGAAAAGAGTGCGCGTATTCTTCAATCTGAAGCCCAAATGCAAGAACAAGTAAATAAATCTATGGGGTTGGCTAAAGCTGCTGAAGCGGAGAAAATACAGAAAATATTGCAGTCTGAAGCTGAAATGCAATCTAAAGTAAATTTAAATTTATATAAATATGAAAAATCAGAATTTTATAAATGAAACAAATTTACATGTAATAAATAAGAATTGTCATAACGATTTGGCAAAAATTAGGGTAGGCACGGTTTTAAAACCGAAGTTTTTGGGATTTTTTGCCAAAAATTTACCGATTTTATCAAATTTTATGAACCGGAAATTTATGAAAATTACAAATTCCCCCAAAAATAAACCGGTATTTAACTAAAAACAAAGCCTGGTTTTTAAAATCTGAATTAAATGAAAACCAGAGGTACTGGTTAATAACCGGTTGTTTCCTTCCCTAGCAAAAATGTTTTTAAATTTTACTTAAATTTTATTTTTGATTTTACAAAACAAATTTCTAATTTTTAAATATTTTTAGGTAAATAAATCAATTGCATTAGCAAAGGCAGCAGAAAGTGAAAAACTTTCCCAAGTTGTACTTGCAGAGGCTGATAGAGATTCCCAAATTATTCGAAGTGAGGGTTTGGCTAAAGCTATTTCTATAGAACACGAAGCTCGAGCAACTTCCCTTGAAAGGATGGGACAGGCAATTCAAAATTCTGGAGGGCCAAATGCCGCCGCTTTTTTGACTGCCGACAATTTTGTCAAAGCTTTTTCAAAATTGGCAAAAGAATCGAATACTTTAATTATTCCTTCTAATCCTTCAGACATTGGGGGTGTTGTAACACAAGCTTTGTCTATTTATCAAAAAGTTGCTAGCCAACAACAAAAACCTAATTAAAAGATTTTTAAATATTTTTTGGGTGAATTTTCTTTCTCTTTCTTTGCTTGCCACAAAAATAATCTTAAATGCCGTTACTGCCATTTCTTTATACTTAGGTTATCAACTAAGTTTTGATCCCGCTTTAACTAAGCAGGGTTGAAAATTTATATTTTCAAATTGAATCCGGATAATATTTTATTGGATTTTTATAATTATTTTTATAACACAGGCTTTGTCTATTTATCAAAAAGTTATTTTATTTTTTAAACTCTTAACTCAAGGGGAACTCAAAACTTAGTTGACAACCTAAGTATTTTAATTTTACTTTAATTTCTTAAAATACATTATGGTTGACTTTAACAGAACATATATTATTTTATCAATCGTTGATCATCTCTTATAAGGTTTTATAACAGTAGATACCTATTTTTCAACTGAATTTTTTTTACTTTGCTTGTTTGGCTAAATAGATTTATCTATTTTATAATAACATTTAAAGATTTGCTAAAAATTTTCTAAAAATAACAACATTTTTTCTATGTTTCTTTTAATTGTCAGTTCTTTTGTAAAATTAATTTTTAATTTAAAAATTAATTTTTACACAAAATTTTATTTTTTTAAATAAAAATAACTATTTTTAAATTCAATTCTTTAATTATTAAACAATTAAATGTGTTAATTACATTTAATTATAATTTTTATTCAATTTTTAAGTAATCTTTCTTTAATCAGAATTTAATATTTTTAGAATAATTTCCAAAAAATAAATAAATATTTTTATTGTTTTTTTTCTTTAAATATTCTTGGAATTTTATTTTTAGAAAACCTTTAAAAATTTTTAAACAAAAGTTTAAAAGAATTTCTTTAAATATACTAATTTGGAATTTTTGTTTTAAAAAGTTCAAACTTTTATATATTAATATTAATTTAATTAATAAAATTAATTCATGAAATTAAATATAATTAAAAAGAGAATTTATCTATTGTTGTCCAAATTTATTAAAAAAATTTTTTAATTTTTTTGATAATTCCTAAAATAGAAGAAATAATGAAAAGAAAGTGCCAATCTTATAAATTCTTTGAAAATTTTAATTTTTTCTGAGAATCGGCATATTTTATAAATAAAGAGATTTTTAGAACAAAATAAATAATAAACTCAAAACTTTTATAAAAAACCTGAAAGTTAAAAAACCTGAAAATTCAACTATTCTAGGTAAAATTATTTTAGAAAAGGGCATTATTAGGAAATACGGTAATCCACTTATCTATTTTTAATTTTTTAAAAATTAAATTTAAAATTTATCAATTAAAGTAAAAATATTTTTTAATTTAAAATATCAATATTTAAATGAAATCATTTATCTACACAAAACTTTCCCTTTAGTTTCAATTTGTATCCATTCACAATCAATTTGCGTAAATGTAGCTTTAAATAAATAAAAATTAATTTTTAAAAATTATTTATTACCATAATCTTGATTAGAAATAAATTTTTTATCTTTATTACACATTCCTTGTGTAACAACACCAATTTGATACCAAGAATCTCCAAAATCAACAAGTAAAGGGCCTCCACTATCTCCCTTAAATAATTTTTGTAGAGAATAATTTTTAAATTAAGGGGGAGGAAATGGTGTGTAAGATACCCCTTATCAAAAGATAACAGTTTTTGCCCCGATGAAGTTCTAAAAAATTATTTTTTTTTAATTAAAATGTACATATTGAATAGATGAAGGACTTGGACGTACACATAATTTGTCACTCCAATTATTTTCAGTAATTTTTTTAATCCAAGAAGTGAGACAGAGAGGAATATTCAAATTTTGACCAAATGTTTTATTAAATTGTTGAAGGAGTGAAACTTGCAAATTTTTTTAAATTAATTTATTTTTATTTTAATACAAAATTGAAAGTTTTGGGTAATTAAAAAATTATGTATTTAAAAATATTTTTGAATAAGTTAGAAATTTTGAATAATTTAAAATTTATTTTCCAAAAAAAATCAACTGCTTATTTACTACCTAGTGCTTCGCCGGAACCGCAAATTTGGCCTGAACCGGAACTGAAATGTTGACCGGATCTGGAACCAAAAAATCCCGGAACTTCCGGCAAAGCTCTACTACATACCTTCCATTTCATTAACACAATATAAATTATTTTCCATTAATTCAACCCATCCAGATTGTAATTGATCTGTTTTCCCTTCAATACTAGCATTAACTTCACAAAAAGGTTTAATCCATCCCCAACCAGCAATTAAAGTTTTTGTTTTAATTAATGGAAGTCTGTTTGTTAATTTAATTGAACGGGCATTTTGTGAAGAAGAAAATAAATTTAATTTTGATGATTCTGGTAACTAAATAAATATTTAAATTAAAAATAATTAAAGAGAAGAAAGAACGAAGGCTGAGAGAGAACAGAAATTCAAAAAATATTTATAATTTTTAAATGAATTTCTAAAAATATTTTTAAAATTTTTGTAACTAAATAATCATAAAAAACTAATTTTTATGAAGAAATAAAAATTTTAGGTTGTAATTTGGAATTTTCCTAAACAAATTTGGAAGAGAATATTTAATTAAAATTATGACATATGTATGTTATATGTAAATTAATTTATTATACTTCAATTAAAGCAAGATCAGCATAGAGTAAATTTCCAAAAATCCCATTATTTGTGTTTTTATTTCTAGGGTGTATTTTAATCATTTTATTGTTAAATTCAATTAATGTTTGATTTTTAAAATTTGTCGAGCCAAAACCAATAACCAAAGAAGCTGACGGATTAGATAATATTTCTGAATATTATTTTAAAATTTTTCATTTAATTTTAGCTTTGAAAATTGTTTGCCAAATTTCTATCGGCTTTTTCTTTCACAAAAGCTTCAAATTCAAAGCGCTACTAAAAGCTGGCTTGCATTTAAAACGCTCACCAGGCGGGGGTTTAAGATCTATTAAAAGAGAAGGTGAAAGCAGTTGGTAGAGCACCTGTACGTGGTGAGCGAAGCGCCTAGCAATAACTGCTAGGGGGTCGGAGGATCGAAGCCTGCCAGGGATTAAACTTTTACCTCGCTCTTACTATAATGAGAGGAAGAGATTACTTTATCTCCTTCATTTCCTTTTAATAAAACAATATATTTTTACCATTTTTTGTCCATCCTTGAAAACAATGTGCAGCTGTAAGGATATATTTTTCATTAATTATAGTTCCAGTACAAAATACTTGTGTATGAATATTTAATTTAGAATAATTATGTTTCATTTGAATTGTTACCATCCAAGGTAATGTTTTATCATCAACAATTTCAGTGCCCATATATAACTAAAAATTATTAAATTTTTAATTACACCTTTCATAATTATCTAAACACAATAATATATCGGCTAATAATTTGAGATACTGCTTTAATAAGTGTGGAAATTTTAGATTTTGCTCGTACTCATAATTCGTACAGGCCTTATCTTTCCTCGTACTTGTTCTGTTCTATTTTTCCCCTTTGTTCCGCGGAGGGGGTAATTAATATAGGGTGGGTAATTATATGATGTATGAATTTTGAACGTGTTTTAGGGCATTTGTTGGGGGGGGGGGGTAATTAATGTTTCATCTATCGCTGTATGGGGTAACTAATGAAAATGGGATAATTATTTTAGAGAGGGCCATTAATACAGGTTGGTTATACTGTATGAGTTCCAAGAAGCCCTGTTTTCTCGTACACAGGTACTCGAACTTTTATATAAGCACGAACTTCAAGCACTGGACACAATCAAAGTCAACAACTATTCATCAAACTCAATTTTCAATAAAATCGAGAATTACAAAACTTTAAGATAAACTTATCTTAAAAGCTTAAAACCTTTTTTTATTTTATTAAAGTTAAATTAAATTACACACTTTATTAGAAATTGGCAAGCAAAATAAAACTTTGTTAATAACTGCTGTCATTATTATAATTGAAATTAAAAAATAAAAATATTTTTCTAAAACTTTTTTAATCATTTCTTATTTTTAATACATATTTTTAGAATAATTTAATATTTTTTAAATTTTTATTTAAATAAAATTCCCTATATTCTCAAAAACATTTTTTTCGAAAATTTGTCATTCCTGCTCTTTACTTTCATTTTCAACTTTAAATATTTAATTAATAAAAAATTAAAGAATTAAAGCTGAATCATAAAATTTCCCCTCCTCAAATTTTTCCCTTTTTCCTATTTCGGGGGGGGGGGGGGCTTTAGCCCCAGGAGCCCACCTGGATGCGCCCTTGTAATTAATAATAAAAAATAATTTTAAATTACATTTTGTTCTAATTATTTAGCTTAATATTTTAAAATCTCTTAATTTCTTAAAACCTAAGTTTTTCAAACAAAGAGTTGAACTTCTGTATAAGCTAATTGTAAGATTTATAAAGATGGGAAATTTATCCAGCAATAGAAAAATAATTCTAAAATGAACTCTCTTTGGATATTAAAATGCTCTCTCTCCAAATATAAAAAATCATCTGTTTCTGTTCAAACTCATTTCATCGTGTTCTGTGTAATCTGCGTTTCTTAGGCAAGGTTTCATTCTTCGGAACATTTGATATTTGCTTGTCATATTCTGTCTTAAAAAGAAAATACTAGAGATTAAAAGCTAAATTGAACGATTTTACGAGGTTTGAATTGAGGATTAAACAATTTTAAAATCAAAAACCCCCCAAAAAACCCTTCAATAAAACAGAAATTTGGTCTAAAACCTAAAATAGGATGACCAATTTTCGGCCGAATTTTTAAAAATTATTAATAAGAAAAAAATAAGTTTACAGACCTCCTTCTTTGTTTCAGAATGTGAAGAAGTTGTGGATGAAGCTGATGAAGGAATTGCTTTTGTTTTACTCGTTTCTCTTTTGCTAATTGAAGAACTTCTCAATAACTTTTGTTGTGTTGAAGTTTTTGCTGCATTACTTGTACTTGCTGCTTGTGAACAAGAAATGCCACTGCTGCTGCGTGACAATTGGCCATCAAAAGGACAATCACTTTCACTTGCAATACTTTGGCAATTACTTGATGTGCCAAAAATTGGGGTGGAAAAAATGCCAGCAGACCATTGACCAGAGGGATATTGAACTACCTAAAAGCAATTTGATGAATTAATAACAATAAATAGGCTCATCCAAAGCTTTTTAATATAAAATTTAGTCAGAAAATTAGTAATAAACAAGTCAATTACAGAGGCGTAGCCATGGATCGATTTCAGGGGGGATAAAATTGAGTGTACGCCAAAATGTATGCGTTTACTTTGGGGTTCCGAACGCAGATTTTTGTACATATATTTTTATTTTTTCAGCGCCGCAGACGAAAATTTTAAGAATTTTGGGGGATGTATGCGTAAAAATGCCCTTTTCTGATCATTTCCCTCCCAAATTTTTTTTATTTTCCCCATTTCAGGAAAGGACTATAGCCCCAGAAGCCCCCCTGGTTACACCCTTCCCTTGGTCAATTAGACATAAAAATAAACTTAATCGTTATAAAATATTTTCTGAATAAACTTCAACAAATTTTTCAAATAAACATAAAAAATAACCTCAATACACTTCAAAGCATAAGCTAGCATCTCTTTGGCACACGTGTTAACATGATGCCCAGTACTGTTGTACATTACTGCATTAGCAAAAATTTTCAAAATATGATGAGTGAATTGACCAAATGTTTGTATAGTAAAGGATTCAATAAGTTGAAATAATGTATTTAAATCCATAGGTCTAAACAAATAAATATTAATTTAAAAATAGAATGGAAAAAAACTTTTTTATAGCTGAATGATAACCAGGTACTTCCCCTTCATCTACTGGCTGATCAAATACATAAGAGTGACGATGTGTACGAATATCTTTCCAAAGAGTTAGTAATACTTCTTTAGGGATAACTTCACTAGAAGAATGGTTGCCGGGACGGAGGAAAAGCCCATTTGTACCAACGCTGTCAACAGCTGGAGATGGAGTAGCGCTATAAAATATTTGATAAAATTAGATATTAGAGAGAAGGCATTATTCGAATAATAGCAATATTTTTTTGAATTAGTGGATTAAACTGACAATAAGTTGCATCACTGAGTATTCCTATCTTTCAGCGAATTTTAACATAAAAAGGTCCCACCCATGTCATCAAAGACTTACTAATATTAATCGAAAATTAACTTTATATGGAAATGAAAATACCAAAATGAACAGGTAAAATGAAAACTAAATATATCGGAATAATTAAATTAAACAAAATTAGTTTTAAACAAGAAAAAACCTTGCAAGCGCTGCTCTACGCAAAGATGAGCGCAATTTTGCAGTCGCAGCAACATGAGAATGAAGAGTTGGTGTTGAAAGTTGTAAAGGTGGTGGCGGAGGGGTTTTTATTGGCATAATAGGTTGCTCCTGCTCAATTTTGATAGGAGCTTCAGCTTTTTCCTTAACCGACGAAATCTCCGGAATGAGTGAAGCAGAATCGGGTTGTTTAAGAGCTTTTTTGGATTCTGTTGAAGTTTTAGGTTCAAACGTTTGAGAAGAGGGGCCTGAATATTTTTTACATTAAATAATAATTTCAAAAATTATTCACTTGAATGCGAAGATCGACGTAAATTTTTAGCAGGAGGCCCTTCATCTTCACCATGCTGCTGGTCATTAATGTCAGTTTGGGGAGGCTTCAAGAATTCAGTCACATTTCTCCTGAGTATTTTAAAGTTAAAAAAGCTCTAAATATTTAAATCTACTTTTAAAATCAAAAAACTCACTTTCGTTTTCTTGATCCAATAGAAGCAACTGTAGGCGCTAATTCTTCAACAGCAACTGTCTTAATTTCTTCCTCGTCAGTTTTTGGTATTGGTGCTTCCATTTCTTCTTCAATTATTTTCTTAGCTGTAGAACTTCGCAAATTTCTTGGAGGAGGAGGCAATGCTGCAGTTTTAATTGCTGGTAATTGTTGTGGCATTTTCAATTGTGTTTTAGGAAGTTTGGCTTTTTGTGAAGTTGACTTTTGTCGGCGACGTCGTGATGGTTGTTGCTGCTTAGATGGTTGTGTAGGCTCAATTAATTCAGCTTCTAATGCATTAATTTGAGCTGCTTTTGTAGAAGTCATAGGTTCTAAAATTAAAAACATGTATAATAAAAAGTAATGATTTAAATAAATCTGGCGGTTTTAACGCGGAAAATAGAAAAAAATAATAGGAAAAGTAAAATGGAGATAAATATGTTTGAATTCTAAAATTTAAAAAATAGGAACATTTGCTGTTTTAAAGCGAGGTGATTTACGTTAGAAAGTAAGTAAGCTAAAAAGGTAACGAAAATTAAGTTCAGACATTGTTACGTTAGCCGAAAAATTTAACGAAAATTAATCAGAAAGCTAAACGTTTGCAAAAAATTATTAGAATTCAAACAAATTTATACTCCAATTCTTCAAATATTTTCTTCCCTCACCCTCAAGGGAATTTGTAATTGGCAAAGGCGGCACAATAACTTTTTCCTCAACAGAAGCACATTGAACAATTTTTAGAACACATTCCACAAATATATCTTTCTCTTGACCATACATTTTGATCAGTTGAAGTGATTGGTTTATTCTTTCTAAAGTTGCTTCACTTGAAGCTAATTTGGCATATTCCATATTTGAATGTTTCAATACAATTTCTGCTACTTTTTCCTCTATAGATACATTACCAAATTCCAAATTTGCATCGATAAAGCTTTCCTGGAAACTTTTTTCCATTTCCTTTTCAATCAAAACATTCTCCTCCTCACCCAAAACACTTTCCTCTTTATTTATCTTAACAAAATCAACAATTATCTCATCATCCTCAACAACAATTACTTCCGGATTTTCCACAGCGTTAATATTTTTATCATCATTTCCTTCTTCTTTGGGAGCCTCTTCAATAACTTTAATATCATCTTCTTTAACGCTCCTCACTTCTTCCTCTTCTTCATCTGTATTTAACACTACAACATCATTATCCCCTGTTTCTATATCATTCATAATCTCATCATCTTCTTCTTCCTCAAAAATATTCCTATTTATTCTATCACCATTAATCTCTTTTCTGTCATTCTTATTTTCAATATTCTGCTTTCTGATCATTATATCGTCATTATATTCAGAAATATTGCCCCCACAAATCTCATCATCATCCACAGTTTTTAATATATCCTCTTCTTCAATAGCTTCATTATATTTAATCGACTTCTTACATTCTTCCTCGTCAATTAATTTTTCGTTTTGCTTCTTAAAAGAATTTTTAGCTTCATTATCCTCTTGGATTAACTTCGTGTTAACAAATTTATTTAAATGTTCTTCCTTTCCTTGATTGTTTACAGTTGAAAATTGTTTCGATTTCGATGAACTAAACTCAACCTCGTTGATTTCTTCATCAGATTCATCATCTTCCAATAAAGAAAAATCGTCAAGAATCGGAAACTCATCATTTTGTCTCGCATTGCCCACACAAGTGATTGTTGTGGTTCTTTGATTCACATCATTTGTAGAAGCCCTTTGTTCTTGTGTTTGGATCGTATTGTTCTTGATGTCTGAATTTTTTAGTGTTGTGTCCAAAGTTTGAAATGTGTTGATTTTCATTAAATCTTTTACCCCATGTTTATTTATATTTTGGTTTAATTGACTTTTTTGTTCAATTTTACACGGTTTTGTCATTAAATTTTGTCTATTACTCAAGCTCATAATTTTTTGAACCGCCTTTTCCAATTTTGATTGTGGTTTGTTAACTTTGACATATTCGTTTATTTCATATTTTTCTTAATTTCATTTAATTTAAGCATTTTTTAGTTTAAAATTAATTAAATTTTAGTTTTTGTTCAAGAAGTCAGAAAAATTTTTGAGGAATTAAAGAAAAATCAATTTTGCCCAAAAAATTAACTTTATAATTAAATTTATCTAATTTTTTTAGTTGTTTTAATAAATTCATGGGTTAAGAAAATTCCCCCATGTCAGAAAAAGAAATAAGAAAAAAAATTATTTTGGGTTGTCTCATGAACCATAATGATTCTAAGGAAAAATAAGAACCACCCTAGCATTTAAAGGACTTTGATTAGACAAAAAATTTAAGAGAACCTCAAAAAATATTTTTTCATTGACAGCGAAAATAAATGAAACAAAAATTCCTCAAAAATTTTTCTAACTAAAACAATATTAGATTGTCAATTATTTAAATTTTTATGAAAAATTTGTTTATTATTTAAGACCCAGGACTCCTTAAATATATATTTTAATATTAGAAAACCTTTCAACACAAGCTCTGGTGAATGCAATAAAGGACTTTTCAATCGAACAAGACTTGGCGATTTTGGAAAAGCTTCTTCTACCGGCTCAGGAGGCGGCGTTGTAATTTTTTCACCGCGCAAATAAGAACAATAATCAGAGAAAGTACGAATCTTGAAAAAAAGGAATACTATAAAATTAATGAAATTCAAAACAAACATTATCTAGGCTATCCAATTGTATTTTATCCAACATCTCTTTAAGTTTAGTCTCATAAAGCTCTCGATCCGGGCGCTAAATTGGAAAAAAATTATAAAAACTAAAAGCAATAAGTAAATTAATCTTAAAAGAATAATTCGATTTTGTTAATTAAGAGAAATGAAAATTTTTAACGATTATATCTTCTCTAAAAACATTCTAGCAAAAGAGGAAAATTAAGTAAAATCTTCTGAAAAATTAGCAACAATTACAATAAGCTATGAGTGGAAATATTTTTATTACAACAGAAATAGTTGGGAGCCCTAAATGGCATGGTCAAAGACGCTGAACGGCCAAAATGGCTCACGGTTATAATGACGCAGACTTAAAATGCGAGTAAAGTTGTTCCAATAGCGGGGAATACTATTGCGATAGTTTGTGCCGTTTTATCGTTCGCCGTTTCGGTCTCGAAGTTTTAGCCTGCGCCAATTTGGGCCGCACCCAAAATACATAATTGAACTCCGTCCCAGAAAGTAGGAGAACTTGATAATTTTTTGCCTGCCTATTTTTTTTGATTCTCCGAAGTTCCTACAAATTATTCCCGTCCCTCCCCTGTAGTATTGTCTTAAAAACCTGTGCATCTCGTTCACGTGCTTCAGTCAAAATTGCTTCGATTTCTTGTGGAGGTAATTTTCCTTGTTGAAAACGTTTAATTAAATCCAAATGTCGACGCATCGAAATAGCAAACATTTGTTTTTGAAGTTCTCGTTGTTTGGTTAATTCTTTTCTAAAATATTTCAGCCACATTTCTGCCGCCTCTTTGCCACGTGGATGTAGAGGAAGACCATAAACATGTTCGGGATTTGGAGTTACGAATATTTGATGAAGCTCTTGACGGATATTCTAAAGATATCCGATAAAATAGAACTAAAAAATTAGGCGGGTATGAAAGTTTAACCAGGTCTCGCTCAATTTAAAAATTTTTAATAATTCGGAAAAAGTCAGTTAAACATCCAACCTACCCATTTTTTCATGATTTTAATAATATAATTAGAAATTCCAGTACTTGTGTAGTTTACACCCCATAAGCTCCGCCCCTTTTCCTTTCTTTCTTTTCCTTAACAGGTGACCATAATAAAAATGCAAACATTGACCGCTTGATCATTTTATGGAAGAAAAAGAGGCGGGGCTTATGGGGTGTAAACTACACAAGTACAGAAATTCTATGTTTCTTTTTTCTCCAGAAATTTTTTCCCTACAAAAAAATTAACCTGAACAGTAAAGAAATTATGAGGCCTCTGTGCAAATTCATTTTGTAAAATTTCTGCACGTCCTTCCCTAAAATTTAATTATAAAAGGAAATTTAAATAAAATAATTAACCATAAAATTTCTTTATTCATAAAAAGTTCAAGCAAACGAATTTTCTCAAATAAAGTCCAAGTTGTTAAATCTGTTGATATTCGTATCATCTTAAATTAATCAAATAATTAATCAAATTAAAAAGAGGAAAAAGAATAAAGATTAGGGAAATGCAAATCAACGTTTCTTAAGGAAAAGAAGTTAAACGTCACACCCCATTTATTCGCAAAACCCCTGTTATTGAACAATTATTCGCGAATCAACCCATCAAGCCAACAATGGGCAAAGGTTACTGTAACTCTTCTTCTGTTACTGTAACTCTTCTCCTTCTACCCTGCTACGGGGCAAGTAGAAGACTTTTAAAAGAATCGTTAAAAATTGAAATTTGATGAAAAAAATATATAAATTAAATATTTTTAGATAGTTTGAAGTGTGCTCTATTTTTTGGTACAATTTTTAAAATTTTAAATTTAAAAATGAATATATGAAAATTTTTAACAAAGAGTACTTCATTTTTTAGCCATTTTTTAAAGAAAAGTATGTAGTAACTTGCTAAAAAATTTATAACTTTTAGCTAAGTCGGTCAAAATTTTTGATTTTTTAGTAAATCATAGATAACACCCCAATTTATATTTTGGCAAAAAATAAAATTTTTAACTCAATTTTAAAAAAAGTTATGATTTTTTCTTAAAATAGGGAGAAATGAGAAAAAACGGAGACACCAAACCAGATGCGTAGGGTTGCCGCTCCGCTAAATTCAAACTCAGTCTGAATTTATAAAATTAATATAAAAAATCGAAGTCTGTTTGGGCCAGCAAGAACATTTAAGCATGTAATTTGTAGAAATTTTTAATTAGTAATTTTCTAGTAAATTGTATAAAATTTTTTAAAAATTTTTATATCTTTTATGTGGATTTATCCCTAGGATCACACAGAAGGGAAAAGTCTAAAACAAAAAAGTATATGTATTTATTTAGAAAATATTTGAAAAAAAATAAATTTACAAACAAAAATTAATTATGCTGCACCAGCAACTGAATAAAATAATTTTAACAAAGGCATATTATTAATTAATATATTATCATTATTATTATTATCTGAGGATATTCTTCTTTGTTTTTGCAATATTTCTTCTTCATAATCTTTTCTTGTTCTTTTATGTTTAGTTTGCTGAAAGAAAAAGAGAATTTAAGGGAATTTTAAATTATTTTAATAATTTGATGTAGCACCCCGAGCCTTCTGGGTTCTTAAAGAAAATATATTTTAATAATTTAAAGTAGTGTAGCGCCCCAAACCTCGGGATCGGATGTGTCGGGGATCGGGGTTTGCCGGGGAGGGCATGTCGGAGTAGAGCCTTCGGGGTTCGAGTCGGGGGTTTTGCCGAAAAAATCGTCGGGGTCGGGTCGGGGGACAGGTTGCTACCCTAATTTAAAAAAAATTTACAGAAGCTTTTTGTAAATATGAAGAAGAAAGATCAACTTTTGTAGGGGTTACAATTTGTTGAATATTGTTATTCGTTGTTGTTTTATGCCTATGAATTACAATTGTAGGCATTTCGGTTGTTAAAATTGAAAATAAGTTATTTGAATTTGTTGTTTGTTTAATTATATTTTGTTGGGGTTTTGTTGAATTTTCATAGGTAATGCTGCCGTTATTACTTTAAAATTTTGACTTTTTAAAAAAATATTATTTAAAAATCCCCCGTCTTCTTTAGTCCCGAATTATTTGTTTGGTAAGTAATAAATACCTTTCATCATTTTTTGAGCTGTTAGTTTTAACAAATTCTTTTATTGGTGAATCCCTATTCTTTCGTCGTGAGCAACAAAATTTTTTAGAACAAGGCACATAACCTGGAGGGCAAATACAGCCTTAAATTGGTTTTATTAAAAATTAATTTTAATTAAAATTAAAAATAATATTTGAATAAAAAAATATTTTTGGTACCCATTGGCGGTGGAGGTGGCATGTCAAATAATGGCGGAGGTATAGGTGGATGTGAGGCTTAAATTTATGTTAATTATTTTTTTATTGTGGGCTAGTAATAAAGCATAAATATATATTTATTTTCATTAAAATTCTAATTAAAACTTCTATTAATAGAAAATACCTGGGGGTACATTAAGGCAAAACATCATCGGAGGAGGCTAAATTAAATTAATTAATTTTTACAATAAATTTCCAATTTAAATAAAAATATTTACAGGACATGGAGGTCCACAAAAAGTATTAGGAGGTGGTTGAGCTAAAATAACTGATGGAGGTGCTGATGGAGGAAGTGGAAATGAGGGAGGTATTGGGACCTTTAAATTAAAGGAAATGAACAAAATATATTAGTAAATTATAACCATATTTTGCATCATTGGAGGGCATGCCTGAAAATTGTGATTTGGTAAAAAAATTTATTGTCAATTAATAAGAAAGTAATATGTAAATTAATAATTTATATAAAATGCTCCTATGTACCTGCATGCAAAATGCATTTAATGGAATTCCAGGTGGGGGAGATGGAGGTGCGAATATAGGAGGTGGCGGAGGTGGAATTGGAGGTGGTGGCATAATTAACTAAATTATTTATATAAAAAATAAAGCTAAATATTGGTTAGAATAGACTAACCGGCTGACATATTGGAGGGCATATAGGTGCAATTGGTGGTTGTAAAACAACAGGTGAAATTGCTGGAGGAGGAGGTAAGAAAGGCTTAAATTAATATTCATTAAAGAATTAAATCGCTAAGAATAGGAAAACTTTATTTAATGAATTTAAATTGTTTATCTTGGTAATCATAACCTGTGGGCATGGTTCGCAAATTGCTTGCGGTGGAGCAGCAAAAATAGGAGGTGGAGGTGGTGGAAGGATAGGTTGGGAAGCTATTGCAAATTGTTGTAGTATACATGAGGGTTGACATGTTGGCTAAAAGTTTGATTTGTGAAATTAAATATAGTATAATTAAAGGTGGTAATTATAAAATAGAGGAAATGGAAGGTAGACTATAATGTTTTAATAAACAAAAACAAACAAGACAAGGCGATTGGCATTCCAACATAAATGAAACTGGAGGTGGTGGAGGAGGAGGAAGAGCTGGTGGTGGTGGAGGCGGCTGCATGAATACCTAAATTTAATTTTGACAAATAAAGAGGCTGATAAATTGTTCCGCAAGCTTATTGTGAATTAATTAAAATTTCGATATCACACTAAAAAATAATATCCCTTGAAATCTCTCACCATTGGTGGCGGAGGAGGTGCTGGAGGCACAACAAACATTGGAGGAGTGAACACTGGTGGAGGTGGTGGTGGTGGTAGAGGAGGCGGGGGTGGGGGTGGTGGCAGATGTTGAGGCATCATAATCATGCAACTTGGAAGACACTAAAGCAATTTTTTTAAATTAAGTTTAATTTTTAAAATTAAAGGTTATGGAATTTACTTGAGGCATGCACATCGGTGGGCAAGGTGGTGGCGTTAGCAAAGGAGGAGTTGGCTATTAAATTTTATTTTTAATTATTTATTTAAAAACACCACAAAAGCTGGAGGCGGTGGTGGAGGTAGAGGAGGCGGAGGAGGAGGTGGTGGCAAATGCTGAGGCATCATAATCATGCAACTTGGAAAACACTAAAAAGATTTTTAAAAATTAAGCTTAATCTTAAGAAAATTAAATAGTCTATGAAATTTACTTGAGGCATACACATCGGCGGACAAGGTGGCGGTGTTAGCAAAGGAGGAGTTGGCTATTAGAATTCAAGTTTATTATTTATTTAAAACAAAATAAAAACTAGTGGCGGCGGTGGAGGTGGTGGCGCTGCCGCTGGCGGCAGTGGAGGCGGAAATACAATCGGTGGAATTTCCTAAAATAAAACATCTGTATAAAATTATCTAAAAATTTTAGGCGAAAATTTTATAGAAAATTTAATTTTAAAATACTTGTAAACAAAGTGATCCACAAATTGGTGCGCACGGCGGAACACAAGGCGGAGGAGGAGGCGGTGGCAAAGGTGGTGGTGGCGGAGGCATTGGGGGAGCAAGTGGTGGTGGAGGTGGCATCAACGGTGGAACCGAAGGTGGAAATATGCAATGGATTGTGCATGCTGGATGACAAACCTTTTAATGTCGGAAAATAGTTTTAAAGTGTCGCTAATAATAAATTTACCGGAATGCAAGGACCAATAGGTGGTGGCATAGGTGCTGGATACGGTCCTGGCGGAGGTGGCGGCAGAGGCGCAACTGGTGGCGGTGGTGGTGGTGGGGGAAGTGGCGGAGGTGGTGGAGGAAGTGGTGGAGGTGGCGGAGGAGGCATCTAAGTAAAATTACAAGTTAAGCTAAAGATTATAAATAATACTGGAGGCGGTGGCAGCGGATGAGGAATTGGTGGCGGTGGTGGCGGAGGCGGTGGTGGAAGAGGTGGTGGCGGCATTAATGGTGGACATGGAGGAATACAATTGACCTGAGTAGATCCATAATTTCCAATTAAATTTCAAAATTCTACCTGATAATTTATTGGAGGGCAACCACAACTTACAAGCTGTTCTTGCCACAATGGGCATTGACAAACTAGAGCATGAGGTGGGAATAATGGTGGCGGTGGTGGGTGAGCAAGCATAGGGGGTGGAGGCATAGGAATTGATGGTGGCATTAATCCGCCACAGTCACATTGATGGACCAAAAAATAAATTTTTTTATTGAAAATAATTTAAAATAAATTATTTAGTATTATATTAGAAGAAATAAATCAAGTTTAAAAAAGCTTGTTACCAAAATATTAAGTGTAACACATTGGCAAGGAGCTAATTCCAATGGAATTGGCGGAGGAGCTGCCATAGGTAATGGAGGCGGAGGTGGTGGCAAAGGAGGAGGAGGTGGCGGTAACTAAATTTTTTTTATTAATTTTGATAGGATTATGAAGTACAAATAAAATATTAATTTTATTTATGTTAAAAAATAATAACTAAATTTTATTTTTTACCGGAACTTGGCAACATGCTAATTGAGTTGGAAAACAGCATTGTCTTTTTTCTCTTTCCATAAAAATATTTTGTATTTCATTTTGGCTTTTACCCTCAAATTTATTTTAATAAAAAAATTAATTTAATTTAAATTATTTACCTTCTTTTGTTCTTCATACCAATCAGAAAATAATCGTAATAAATTTGCTTGTTTATCTTTTGTGATTAAACTTTTCTCTGATTTATTTAATATTGAAAAATCACTCAAAACAATTACAAATAAAAATTGTAAAATTAAAAATATTAAAATTGGTGATGTTAAAACTAAAAAAATAATTAATTATTTAATAGTATATTAATTCAAAATTTATTTGAATTACCTTTAATTCCTCTAAAATTTCCATTTATTTTTAAAATTCTCATTTTTATTTAGCTGTTGGATGTTGTTTTAGATTAAAGTTTTTTTGATAAATATTTTTTAAATATATTTAGGGAAAGTATAATAATTAATGGAAATTATGAGTATAACTAAATAATTAAAAAAAGGATTTTTAAATAATTAAAGTAAATGGAAAAATAAATTTCCATTCAGAGGGTCATACTAATTGTAGGAGGTAAAACAGACCTGGTCATGGATACGGATATGGATACACTAATACATCCGCCGTAAATATCCGAAACGGATATCAGAATCCGTATCCGTGCCCTAGTCTGGGTAAAAATATGGATAATAAACAAGACTTGGTAATAGACATGGATTTGATATCCGTATCCGGATATTTACAGCGGATACAGACGGATATCCGTAGGCATTTTGAACTTATCTGTATCCATATCCGTATCCATTACCAAGCCTGTTGTGAACATTAATTAACTTCTAATTTAGGGATTAGATAAAGATACTAAAATATTCTCTCATTTATAAAATTACCTATTGATTCATAAATTTATGTTAGAAAAAATAAACTAAAGAAGTATTTAAAATTAAAAATGATTGGAAAAGATGAAAAAGAATTAAGAAAAAATGTAATTATTTTTAATTTTATTCACACCTAAATGTAAATAAAATGTGTTGCAATGCTTTGTTCACACCGTCTATTTTACATATTTTTTAAAGAAAACTACACATTCTAAACTTACACCTGGGCATTTTTTTAGAGAAATTAAACTTAATTTTTGTATTTTTTATTCTTTGTTTGAAAAATGGTTACAAACAACTCTTTTTTTCTGTCAGGATAAGTTTAAATAATTAACATATAAAATTATAAAAATTAATTTAATTTCACTATAATGTCAAATTTTTCTCTCAGTCAGAGAGGTTTTGTCCAAATGAGATTTGAGTGATTTATTATAATATTTAAATATATTTTTTATACATATAAATTTAAAATTAAAAAATTTAAAACAAAATATTCTTCCAAAAACTATAAATTCCGATGAGCAATCTATTTCCTTTCAATATTTAAGATACATATATAAAGATGCTACACTAAAGGTTCTTTGGGCCAAATGTTAAAGATGTGAATTGAAGATAAAAATGTAAATGGCTGTGAAATATAAATAAAAATATTTTTTTAAATTTACACCCTAATTTCTAAGAAGTCAAAAATAGGGTAAATGTTTTAGTTAATATTTATGTAAAATAAAAAAATTTAGTCAGAATTGTCTTAATTTAGTAAAACAATTCTAAACGCGAAAAAATCAGCAAAATAATTTTTTATAACAGATTTAGTATATAAATTGGACAATTAAATAAATCGGCTTACAAAAAGATTAATTAATTCTCCAAATTATTCTTCATAAATAATCAAGAAATTAAAATAAATAGAGGAAATTCTGGAAAATGTCTACTAAACAACTAAATACTTCTTTGTTTAAATATTAAAAATAAAAATAAAGTTCCGGTTCCGTTTATTATTTTTTCAATCAAAAGAATTTAATGTTTTAATGACCGCTTCACAGGCCACAAAATAACAAAACAAAAAATTCCTTCCTTGCGCATAAACTGACCATTGAATGATGAGGCGCAAAAATTATATAAAGACAAGGAAGTCAAAGTCAAGTGGAAGAATAAAAGCAAATATAAATTTTATATTAAGTAAATATTTGATGGGCACAATATTCTCTAAGTGTGTGGTGGAAGTTGGGCATGTTTTTTTGATGAGGATAAAGATTTCTAAAAATAAATTTCCCCGGAGATATTGACAAAAGAAAAATGAAAGGGAAAGTTAAACAATTGAAAAAAATATTAAGAAAATTATGAGGAACTAAAAAAATTCAAAAAGGGGATCCTTCCTATTTATTTACAACACAAAAACATATTTATTATATAAAATGAATCATATTTATGTAGGTTTATTCATAATAATAGAAGAATTTACAAAAAAATAACCTTTACCTTGGCCATAAAATTAATCGCCTCAAAATTTACCGATGAAACAAAAAAAGAAAAATGGAAAGCTAATGCGATGAATTTATGGACTTTTTTTGAAGCTAAATAATAGAAGAAAATGTGAATTGGAGAATAATAAAGGATTTAATTAACTAACAAATAATCGCAGAAAAGATAATTCTTTTTAAAATAATTTTTGTTTGTTTAAAAAAATTTGGAATGGAAAAGTTAAATATTTTAAAATAAGAAGAAATCTGAATTGTGAAAATAATAAATGGAATCAAAGATAAAATGTCTTGCTTCATTATATTTTGGCTGTTTCACTTTGGTAATTGATAAGTGATGTACTAAATAGAATTTCCGAGGACCTCAAAAATGGTAGATAATGATGGTGCAAACTCCTGTTCGAATAGGCGCGTCGAGATCTTGAGGCTATGTTAACTCTATTAGACTCTCAGTCTCGCTCAAATCAAAATAAATTTAGTAAAAAAATAATTCAATGTTTTTCAATATTCCTCAAAAACATTTATTTTATTCAATTTATTGGCATCTCTTCGGGTTGTGAATTGACCATGTAACGACATTTAATTTTTTTCATATAAATAACCTTCATTGTCCACATATATTTTTGTTTGTTAATTCCAACAATAAGAAATGGCCGCGATATTAAAATTATTTCTATTCGATAGTATTGAAACAAACAATTGAAAATAAATAAATATTTAATTGTTTGTATTGAATTTCTACAAAATTTAAATTTTTAGTTATTTAATTTTATCGGTAAAAATAAGAAAAAGGAAAAAAAGAATTGGTTAAAAATAAGTATTTAATTTTATTTTTTTTGTAAAAATTTGTTCAGTCTACAGTAAATTTTAGAGCCCTCAGATGAAAATTTTGAAGTCCTAAGATGCTAACGCCATTGAAAATTTATTATTTTTAGAATTATAACGAAAATTTTTGAATTTTGAGAGCAACAAAAGGTTTTCTTTTTGGAGTATTATAGGAATTTTAAACTTGAAATTTTGTGGAAAATTTTGTGTGCTGCTTATAGTTTATTTTACGACATTAAATAAAATATCTGACAATTAATTTTAGGTTTCCCCAGATAAAAGTTTTTTTTTATTTTTAAAATCAAATTATTATTTAGAAAAATTTATTTTACACGTGCAACTATTCTAATTCGATAGAAAAATTTTTTTTTCACTATTGCAGGAATAACTAAAATAAACATATTTTCATTTATTCTTATTAAATTTTGAGGATTTCCCTAAAAGTCACATTTTCGATAAAATAATATTAACATATTAATTTATTTGTTAAAAATGTACATAGAATAAAATTAATATTTACAAACTATTCTGGCTCAGAAAACTTCAATTATGAAATATTATCAAGAATTTATTTTTTAATTTATTCATAATACAAGTTAGATAATTATGGGGGGGGGGGAATTATTTGAGAAAAAGTGAACCAAGAATCGACGTGCATTTGGTATTTACTGAGTGTATTCTTTATTGGAAGTATAGTTTTATTTTTATATACATATTTGAAGAAAATGTTTTAATTGTTTATTTATTTGTGTTTTAGAAGACACGTGTAAATCGAAATAATTATGAAACAAAATTTAAGACTTAAATAAAACTTCATTTATTTAATATAATATTTACCATACAAAATTTCTAAACGATATTTTTCAACTACAAGTTTTTTGAGATGATCAGACTTTAGTAAAATATTCAATTTAAAATCATTTCGTTAAATTCCTCTATGTCATCAAAAAATTATTTTTGTAAACATTAAACCCACACAATAAAAATATTTTTATTCAATTATTTTATTCAACATTTATGTAAACAAAATAAATTTTTAACTCAAAATTACATTAAAATTTAACAAAAATTGCTCTAAATATTTTGTGTTGAATTTAATTTTTATAAATATTCTTTGATGAATTTATTTTTTAATTTAATATTTTTTTAATTAAATTTGAATTAATTTCAAAATATTTAAATCTGATTTGTGTATTTTTATTAAAACTTCCAAATCATAAATATAGAAGGAGTTTGTTGAATCCATACCCAGTTAGAGCCCAGGATAATAGAATATGAGGAGAATACTAATTAATTAATGTTGGTAGTCCCGCCGGACTAACAACACTTGAGGGATTGAGTTGACTAGTAGACTGATCCTTGGAAAGTTAGTTTAATATTTCACAATTTCCATTTCCACCTTACAATATTTCATTTTAAAAAATCCAGTGTTAATATAATTTCTTAAATTAAAGAAATTATATGAAATTTTAAATTAATTTTTAATTTTAAAATTTAAAAACATATGACAGACAATTAATAATTTAATTAAAATATAAAAATAATAAATCATTCTCTTTCCACTTTAAAAACTTTTTTTTATTTCAAACACCGTTCTTCTTCCTCTTATATTTTTTAATTTTCCATTATTTTTACTCGCTAAACAATAAAAGTTTGAATTACACGAACAACCTTTATTTATTTATCAATTTCCCTTTTATAAAACTTATACATATTGTCCCTATAATTTAAAACAATTTAAATATTTATTTTTATATATCGATCTTCAAATATTTCAAAAAAATATTAGTAATTTTTATTAAAAAAAAATAATTTCTAAAAAAATATAAGACGAATAAAATTCTTTTTTTATTTAATATTTTTAATAAAAATTTTTTTAAATTAAACTTAAATGAGTAAAAAAATTATTAAATTTTTTATTATTTAATAATTTTATTATTTATTTTTATCCTTTACTTAAAACTAAAAAAATTATTTTTATCATTAATTCATAAATTTTTGTTTTAAATTACAAAAATATCTGAAAATAATAATTTTAAATCTTTTTTTTTATTTTTTTAAATCATTTCCCGTTTTAGAAAGGGGAATTTTTAATCCTTTTGATTTTGTTTTTTTATTTTATTTAAAATTGTTTTTCCATTATTATAAATTAAATAAATTTTTAATTTAAAATTTTTATTTTTAAGTAAAATAAAATAATTTAATTTCACTATTTTTTGAAGTCGAAATCTTTAAATAATCCTAATTAAAAAAGAATTAATTAAATTAATTAAAAAAAAATGGTAGCGATTACTACATTTCAAAATAGTATTAATAATGAAGTTATTTCTCATCCTAAAAAGGAACCAAAACTTGGAAATTTTATTTATTTAGTAATTTTATTTGAATATATTTAGTTATTTTGTTACTAAATTTTTAAAGAAAATTGAAATGTTTTAATTTAAAGCTTTCCGGAATGGCGGTAATTGGTGGATTTCTTTTTGGTTATGACACAGGAATTGTTTCTGCAGCGATGGTCTTTAATTAATTTATTCCTAAAATCTTCTACATTTTAATTATTAACAGCTTTATGTACCACAAAATAATGATCTTAAACCTATGGGAAATTTATGGAAGGAAGTTATTGGTAATTAATTTTTGTGGAAACGATTAAATAAAAAATTTATTAATTTTTATAAAAATTACTGATTTAAAATTATTAATTATTAAAATTAATTTATTAAATTTACACCCAACAAACATAAAATATCTAAAATAATTTATTCCTTTAAATTAATTTAAAGTTTCTATTACACCTGGAATGGCTGGTGTTGGTGCCCTTTTTGCCGGAAAGGCATCTGATTTATATGGGAGAAGAAAAGTATAATTAATTAATTTATCTTTATAAAATAATCTAAATTTAGATGATTATTTTGTCGACAATTATTTTTGCTGTTGGGGCTTTTGTTTGTGCAATTGGAATAAGCAAGTGGATTTTATTAATTGGAAGGATATTATTGGGGATTGCTATTGGTAATTTTAATTTTTGTGAATTTATTAAGATTTTTATTACATTATTACCTTGATTTTACGTAAAAGATACATAAATATTTGATTGCCCAGTGGGGCCACCGGCTGATTAAACGATATCCCCTTCTTTCGCTATTTAGGCAAACCTCCTTTTTACGTAAAATTCCAGTCCCAATATTATAAATAAAATTGAGGTTTTTAACTATTTTTAAAAAAGGATTTGCTTCAATGATTGTACCAATATATGTGGGTGAATGCTCACCGGCACATATTAGAGGAAAACTAGTTACTGGATTTCAAGTAAAATATTTTTAACTTTAAAACTTGAATAGCAAATGTCTGTACAAATGTCGGGACAGACATTTAACTAGAGAGGGCATTTCCTTACTTGAGGAATTGTTCTGCAATTACATTAAAGATTTAACTAAACCTTTAACCTGAGGGCAGGTTTTGTGTATCGGGATAAATCGTGTCAGGGTTTAGATTAAGGTTCTTCTTAAAAATAGTTGGCCTCTGGGTTTTTAATGATAAATTTGTTATTTTTTTATTTATTAATTTAAAAGTTAATGATTACTTTTGGACTACTTTCTGCCAACCTTTTTGCGGTTGGATTTTCTTATATTGATCCAGAGAATTGGGGATGGAGGTAATAAAAATACACATACTAATAATTTTATTTATAACTAATCTAAGCATAATTAAATATATATTTTGAATATAATTAATTCAAAACTAATTATTAATTTATTTTAATTTCAAAAAAGATTAATGTTTGGTTTTGCCGCAATTCCCTCAATTTTGCAATTTATTGGTTTCTTTTTCCTGCCTGAAAGTCCACGTTGGCTTTACCAAAATAATTTAAAAAGTGAATCAGAAAAAGTTCTTTCAAAAATTTATAATGGAGATCAAAATTGGATTAAATATGGTCTATCAAAAATTATTTAGAAAAAATAAATAAAATTTATTTTTTTAAAGAATTGGATGAAATCCATTTTGCTCATGAACAACAAATACAGGATCAACTAACTTATGGTAATTAGAATTATTTTAACATAAAGATTTTTATTTTTTAAATTTTAGGTGGAGGAAATTTATTAATGCGTATTTTGTCTGATCCCCCAGTTAGAAAATCTTTATTTATCGGAGCAGCATTACAAGCATTTCAGCAAGCATCTGGAATTAATACAATTATGTAGGTAATGAAATAATTTGAAAAACAAAATATATAAAATGAGATGTCTATTTCTTGATTTAAGAAGATCCTTAATTAAATTATTTATGTTCCAGTTCCAGAACCGTTTCTAGGAAAATGTGAAAGATAAATTCTGGAATTGCCAAGAACTAGAACCTCTAAATATTTAATTATTTGGAAAGGAAAATATAACTGATTACTATATCAAATTAAAAATTAAAATTATTTTGTCACAAAAATTTAATAATACTTTTGTGTAACTGAAAATAAATAACGCATCATCGGGTTGAATGGTGGCACAGTCGGTTGTGCTTCGGTTTGGACCCTTTCCATGATGGTTCTATTCCAGCTCCTATCCATTGAATTTTTCTGCAACATGAACATAATTAATACTAAACATTTTTTAATTTAAAAATTAAATTGTTAACAATTTTTTACTTAAAGGTATTACACAGGAGCAATAATCCGTTCTGCGGGCGTTAAAGACTACCACGATACTATTTGGATATCTGTGGGAACAGCTAGTGGGTCTAACAATAATAATTTTTAAAAATAATTTTCTTTTTCTGGTGTCAATTTTTTCGCAACATTTATTCCAATTTATTTAATTGAAAGGCTGGGTCGTCGTTTTCTTCTTTTATTAAGCATTTTTGCTGTTTTTTGTTCACTCATTTTAATGGGTGGAGGTAATTAAAAGATTTCTAAATTAATTAAAGAATTTTATTAAAGCTTTTCTATTAATAAATAAAAATTCTGCCCCTTCAATTAATGGAAATATTAATTTGTTTGATCAAAAAGTAGATTCATTTAATCGTTGTATTTCACATAGGTTTTATTTATTAATTTGATATATTTTGAAAATTTATTCAAAGTAATTGTGATTTTTGCACAACAGATGAATTATGTGGATTTTGTGAGAAAAAGGGAAATAATGGAGGGGGATTTTGTCTTCCTAAGGTAAAAATGATGTACCTTTAAATATTTTTATTAAATTAATATTTTGTATTAGGATTGAGTAAGTTAAATTGTTAATATTTTCTAATGAAAAATTTATTCATAATTTAAATATTTTAATTAATTTTAGGATCATTTTAATGCAGATATTCGTTCTATAACGGGGCCTTGTTCCTCAAAAAATAGCACTAATGGATTACATTTTGTTGAAAATATTGAATATGAGTGGTAATAAATTAATTTCTTAATAAAAAAATAATTTTTAAAATTTTAGGAATGAAAACTGTCACACAGACACAAAATATACAATTTTGCCAATTCTTTTAATGATATTATTTTTGTGTTCTTTTGCTATTGGTTATGCTCCTCTTCCTTGGGTTTTAAATGCTGAATTTTATCCACTTTGGGGTAAATTATATATTAAATTTTTTCTAATAATTACCGTATTTATTCTAATAGTACTACAGTGGTTCTATTTTTCAACCCTTCGATTTTTGTGGTTATATTAGAGACTGTGGTTCAAATAGAGACTGTGGCTTTATTTTTCAATCTTTTTTTTTGAAAAATAGGAAAAATATTGAGAATTTTTCTTGTCATATTCTCCAAAAATAATTATAATTTTTAATCAATTTGGTGGTTTCTCGACTTCAAAATTCTCTAGATTTTCGACTGCGGCGCCAGATTTAACAAGAATGTCGATTTTCTATAATAAGATCTAACCCTCAACTCGGTTTCCTAGTAAGAGAACCTAAGAAATTTACTAAGAACTCCTACCTCGTTGTTATATTAAAGTTTTGGAATGGAGGCATTTATAAGGGAACAATTAGAGTTGATACACTGGTATAGCAAGAGAATTGGATTCCTATTAATTCTGGAAAAATTGACAACCTCTTAATTCATCTTAATCATTCTCAATCCCCCAAATCCTCGTATAGATCAAATTCTCCTCATCTTCTTAGTCCTCCCAAATCTTTCTATATTTCCTCATAATCCACTTTATCTCATTTTCCTCATAATTCCCCGACACTTTAGCTCTCATAAATTCTCCTACTGAATATGCCATGGGCTTTCCTGGATTTGTTGAGGTTAACGAGAATTATAGTACTTATTTAAGAGTATGAGAGATATGTGGTTATATTAGAGACTGTGGTTGTATTTTTCAACTCCTCCATTTGATGTGGTTATATTAGAGACCGTGGTTCAAATAGAGACGTAGTACTATTAGAATAAATACGGTATTTTTTAAATTTAGCTAGAAGTACTTGTGTTTCTTTAACTACTTTTTGTAATTGGGAATTTAATTTAATTGTTTCACTAACATTTTTAACATTAACACAAGAAGCGACAAAATATGGTAAGAAAAAGACATTTTGTTTATATTTGCCAATTTATTTTACAAAAATTATTTTTTTAAATTTCATCAATTTCCACTCTTTTTAGGAGCATTCTTTATTTATGCTGGATTAACGGCTATTGCTTTTCTACTTTTTTATAAAGTTGTTCCAGAAACTAAAGGTCTCAACTTGGATGAGGTTTGTTAATAATTTATATTTTTTTAAAATTAATTTTAATTTTTAGGTCCAATTATTATTTATGTCTAAAAAAGAACGTCAAAGAGCTGTTTCCGCACTTCAGCAAATACCTATGTCTAAAATAGAAAATAATAATGGATTTAATTATAAATAAATTTTAAAAGGAAAATAAATAAATATTAACAATTTTTACATTAATATATCATTAATTTTGGTTTTTTTTAAATATGTAAATATATAAAAACTCAAAAATTAAAATTTATTTTTTCTTATTTTCTGGCAGTACATTAGCAAACCCCATTCGACTTTTACCAATATCATAGATATTACCTGAAATTTTTAATTTATTTAAAAATTTTTCTAAAATAATTTTTTGGGACGCTGGTGGGGGTTTTCGAGTTAATAAAAATCTGATTTATATAGTTATAGAATTTATATATAATTTGGCTTGTTAATAATTTTTATTTAAATTTTATTATAATAATTATTAAAATTATTATGTATGAATAAACTTACAATATTGACGAATAAAAGGCGCGCCAAGAATCCAATCGAGAGCTTTTTTAATTTAAAAATTTGTTTTTAAATACTAAAAATACTCACATCCACTTGGGAAATTTTGTGGAACCATTCCAAATAAGCATTTTAAATGTAAGGGATCATAAACATCGATTGTTAATACTTCCTTAATTAAATTCAAATTATTTACTAAAAATTATTTCCACACTTTAGTTAAATTATATTTATTTCCATTTATTTTAAAAGTAATTGGATTGTAAGTTTTATTACAAGGAATAAATAATATATTTGCTGTTTTGTTATATTCTGCCCCAATTTGTTGTCCAATTGAAAGAATTATTGAACTACTTCCATAAATAAGTGAACTACCTGTATCTGATACAGCTTAAAGAAAAACTAAATTTGTTTAAATTTAATTATATTTAATTTAAATTAATAATAAAATAAATATTTTTAATTTGATGGGCAAATAAAGTAATTTTTGTCAACCTTTTTGCCTTATTTTGCTTTGATAACTATTGCCATAACTAACACCCTTAATTTTAAATTTTACTTCAATTATATAATTAACTACTTCAAGTTCAAAAATGAAATAAGAGCGATTTATAAGTGGTGCCCATCCAATTACGTTATCGCAATTTTTGTTGTCTAATCCTCCATAGGTAAATTGTCCTCCACCCAAAAAATTTAGAATTTATTTAAATAATTAATTTAAAAAAATAAACAGTTAAAATACCTTTAACCAATTTCTTTTGACTACTCCCCAAAGTTGCCAAATAAACAGTAAATATTGCATTAGCTAATAAACCTACAAATTTTAGCCAAAAATATTTTTTAGAATTAATTTTTAATTTTTTGATTACCCAATCTAATAGCAGCAGTTAAAGGAGGTTCTACCCCATTAATAGCAATTGACTGAAATGCTAATCCCAAAGTTCCATCAATCGGTTCATTGCCAGCATGTTTATCTATTGTTGTTGCTTGACCAAAAATAATATTTGGGATTGTTAATGAAGTGTTTTCATCAATACAACCAAACTTTTAAAAAAATAAATAACGTTAAAATAAAGTAAAACTATATTTCCGTCGAAAATCGCAATATAGACTTGTCAAAATGACACTAGCTCTCAAAAAATACATGACTTATATTATTAAAACTTAATTAAAATTTTCAATTAAATACCAACTTTTAATCTATCACTCCCCAAAAATCCATCAGCAAATCCTTGTCCATAAATTATACTAAACGGACGGCCATTACTTTTATAAGTTGTTGATTTACTTGAATCAAATTTTATTTTCCCGTCACAAGAAGAAATATTTGAAATTTTACCACAACAATAAACATCACAATTTTTATTACAATATTCTTAATTGTTTAAAATAAATTTTTGTTTTAAATTTATTTTTTGTATGTAGTAGAAAACAAAAAATTAGCAAAAAATTAAATTACCTCTATTTTTACATTTATCATTACATTTTTGTTGATAGTTACAAGTTTTATCTACAACCCAAAGATTTGAACTTGCCGTATCCATTGATACTCGAAATTCCTGTCCTGGGGTGCCTTTATTTGTTAAATACATATTTAAAAAATATTTAAATTGATTAAGGATAAAAGTATTTCAGGATTGAAATTTTAAGCTAAGGATTAAGTTAAGGAAAATTTTCAATAGTTTGTGACAACAAAAAGTAATTTTATACTGAAAATTTGGTAAATTTTTTAATTAATTGATAAAGGATAAATTCCAGTTCATTTTTTGTAAAATCCTCTATTTATATTTTAAATAATAAAATTTTTATTTATATCTACCTAAAGTAATCATTGAAACATAAATCATATCCCTATAGTTGTAAACATCGTGAATAAATTTTTTCCCATTATAAAGAATTCCATCAATTATTTGTTGACTTCTGGCATCCAATTGGTCTAATAATTTTTGACTTCCGTGCGGAAGAATTTCTTTACTGAGTTTTATAAAATTAGAAATAGAAGGTATTTTTGTTTTTGAAATCAGGTAATCATGAATAGGTAAAAATACTTCGAATGAGGACTTGGTTGTTTGGATTTTTAATAAATATTCGAAAAAATTACCCCAAAGAGGAGTTAATACTTCCTAAATATAAACAGAAAAAAAGATGAGGAACCTAGGAACAAATTACAGATATTTGATAAATTAACAGAAAAATAAAAACGAACAAAGGATCTCCATTTTGTATAATATTAATATTATGTACTCCATTTTCTAATAAATTTGTTGATAAAATTGAATTAAAAATATAAAATAAAATAAAAAAATAAAATAAATTAAATTTTATATTCATTTATTTCTAAACAAATTATTCAATAAAAATTAAGGAAACCAAAATTTTGTCTAAAATCTGGTATTTTTTGGTATTTTTTTATAGGTATTTTTTGGATTAGAGGAAATACGTTGATTTTATATTAAAACATGTATTGGTTTTTTTAAATAAAATTTCTTTAAAAAGTTTGTGAATGACATATCAAAGTTATTCTTAATCAATTCTATAATATATAATTTTATGTCATCCACGTGGATTTGTTTGGCTCTTTCTTTAATAAAAATTTTGAATTATTTTTTTAGAATTCTTTTAAATGAAAAAAATAATCAAAATTATTTTAATTTATAAATATACTTATTTAACTAACAATTTTGAAATAAAATTATTTCTTTTTGGTATGGAACCATCCGTTAGCTCATTCACGTTAATTTTGACTAGTTATAGATTGAGCTTTATCCCGACCTGATCCAGAACGATATTTTCAGAATTATCCCGAAAATGCAACTAAAAAATTTGGAAGGGTTTCAGGACGGGGTTAATTAGTTAATTATTAAAATTAATTAATATCAACAAGCATTCTAAATTTATTTTTCTTCAAATCTTTTTCATCTAAAATTGCCCTCCCATCTTCTATTCTGACCATTCTAATATTTTCTATTGGCCCTTCAGATTCTAATACCAATAAGGATCTCTCACGAATATCCAAAATTAAAACAAATATTGAAAGTAACACAAGAAAAAGGAAGGTAATTAGAAGAGAAACAAAAAATAGCCATTTCCAAATATCCCATTCTCTGAAATGAATAAAAATAAATAATTAAAATAAAACATTTTTTGTAAAATTAACTGATTTACGAAACTTCTATCTATAATAGAATAAATATTTGTATTGTTATTTAGAAAATTAAAAATTAAAATCGAATTTTACTGAAATATTTTTGAGGGATATTGACTCAAGATATTAAAGATTTATTCCTTCTCCAAAAATAACTAAAATTTCCCTTCCCCTTATTTAAATTCAACTTTGAAAATTAACTTTCTAAATTATTTTAAAAAATAAATAATTCTCTATTTAATTAATTAAATCAGGTATATATAAATAATATTTCCAAACTTTTCACATCCTTGTGGACAATTAAAATCAAGTAATGGAAGTTCTAATCCATAATTGTATAGTCTAATGTGTCTTACATGATGAAAGACATTTTTAGCTATTGCTGGAGATATACGGGCAAATACATTTTCGGAATTTTTCTAAAATATTATTTTTAATTTATCAATCTTTTTTAGTTCACCCCGAATTCTTACCCAATTATTTCCATCTTTAACAGAGGATTTATTTGGCAATTTCATAAATCTTGATAAAGAATCATTTGCCAACTTATCAACATTCGTTCCAAAAAATTCAGAATTTTTTATTTTATCATTTTGGTTGGAATGAATCCACAAATTTCTGTTTATCTAATTAATTTTAAATTTAATTAGAAGTTTACAAAAATATAAACACCTCAACAATAATTGTTTGTCTAAGAATATTAATTAACATACTCTCATAAAATTGCAACGTTTCATTCCTGTAACCAAAAAAATAAAATATTTTCCCCTTGTTGATTAAAAATTAAAAATTTATAATTAAATAAGAAAAATTGTTAAATGATGACACACAAATCCCTCTATATTTTCCTAAAATTTTTTTAATCTTACGATCTATTTTTTATATTATCCTTAAAATGTTTCATTATTAAAATCTTTAGTGATTAAAAAATATTTTTATAATTGTTTAAGAAATAAGGGTAATATTTAGGGAGGGTAATTATTTGAGAGGGGGTAATTATTCGAGCATATACGGTGATATAAATTTAAAATATATATTTTTATTTAAAAAACATACCTACCAACATGATAAAGAGTCAGGATTACTAATTGAACAAAAATGTTTACAATTAACTACACCAATATTTTCGTGTTCATTTCCAGTAAAATAATTCATTTTTAATTGTTTTTCTACTCCAATATTCCACAAAGAATTATTTAAAAAATTTTGTTTTGAAATTTTTAGAAGGAAGACAAAAATGGATAAAATAAATTTAAATTTGTTAATTAACATTATATAGAGGTTGATATATTCTTCAAAATATATTTTAAATTATTAATAAAAATAGGATTAAAATATAAAAAAATATTTATTTAAATGTAAAATTTCTCTTTTTTTTTCTAAAATTTTATTTTTATGATTAAAACGTAAAAGTTTTGTCGTTCACTTTGGTTAACAATAAAAATGACAACGATAATATCATCAATACTTTTTTTAAAAAAAGGAAAGGGAAAAATAAATTCGAGAATTTATTAAAAAAAGAAAAAGAAAAACACTTTCTTTTTGATTAATAATAAAATATAAATTAGTATAAAAAATATTTTTTATATAATTTTTCTATATTTTATTTTAATTAATTAAGTAAATTTAATAATTTTAATTGTTAATTTTAAACAAAATTTAAAATTATTTTAGTAGACCCGCTAAAAAATTTTTTGGTGAGTTTTAAATTTAAGTTTATAATATTTAAAAATAAAATAATTAAATTTAAAAAAATGAATAAATAATACTAAAAGTTAGGATTTTTAATTATAAAACAAATAATTTAAAAATTAAAATAAAATTATAACCAAACTCAATAAATTATCATTTATTCATTTTTTATTAATTGTTACTTAAAATTATTTTTTGATAAGAAAATGAAAAAATTAGGAGTATTATTATTTTAAAATTGTTTGTGAATTAATTATTAAAGTTTATATTTTTATACAAATATTTTTTAATATGTATAATATAAAAATTTTTAATTTTCATGGCAAAATAATTTTTTTGAAAATACCTATTAAATAATATTTAATAAAAGTAAAGAATTATTATTTTTTGTTTAAAAAAAAACAAAATTCTAAAAAAATTTACATTTCCATTTTCTAATTAAAATAAATAGTTTAACAATTTAATTATTAAACAATTAATTTTTTAAATTTATAATTCTTCTTTTATTTTCTCTCCAGGCAAAATTGCCGGATTTCCTTCCAAAATCTTATCAGCATTATCCATTTCTTGAACAGAAACAATTCCATCATTATTAAAATCTAAAATCCATTGAAGTCCCGGATCTCTTTTTCTTCCTTCAATTTTATTTTTATTTTTTCTTTTACTTTCAATTATAGATAAATCTCTTTCAAAAATATATTTAAATTCAGATATGTCAACAATCCCATCATTATTTGCATCAAAATATCTTTAAAAAATAAGATATTTTGAATATAGAATTTTAGTAAAAATAATTAAATATACTTTATGTAATATTTAGAAGCAAGTACAGGGTCTATATCTTCATTTGGCCATGCTTTTCCAAATTCTTTCAACATTTTATAACCAAAACGAGTTAATTCGTCTTCCGTAAGTTTACTATCATTATTTAAATCCATCCATTCAAATTGCCCTTCTATAGTCCACGGCTCTATTTTTATTGCCTCAATATCAAAACGAAGCCAATGTTCATCATTTGGTATGAACCTCCAAACTAATTTTAATATTTATTAGAGTTTTGGAGAGATTTAAGGGTTCTTTGTTCAATTAAATTATTTTTTAGAAAAAATGTACACCTGTTTAGATCAACTCCTATAATGAATACAAGAGATAAAGACAGTAGAGATTGGTAATCTGAAATCCTTGGCCTGTTCCTGGGTTTGATTTATTGATCTGGGCCGGATCCTAGACCTGTAGTCCAGAAAAAAACCCAGCCCATGAAAAATCAAGGAAGGTCAAAAATGCCTGGGCCTAGACTCTGGGTACAGGAAAAACCCAAGCCTTGGTCCAGAACCAGACCGATCTTTTTTTAATTATTGTAATTTGTACATTGTTATTTATACTATTCTTAATTTAAAATTTTCAATTTACCTTTACTCTTCCTTTTACGGCTTAATCTCCAAGGAACTTCAATTTTGCGAAGTTCACCATCACACATTCCTTTAATACCTTTATCTAAACCAGGCATTGTCTTAATATATGAATTAAAAGTAATAATGTTTATTTCAATCTTTTACCATCCCAACACCCAATTGTATTTTAATTCCATCCTTTTCACGTCCATAGCTTTGATCAAATTTTTTCCCAGCCTCAGAAAAGCCTTTGAAATGAAATGTGACAAAATCAAGACGTCGAGCTTTTCTAGGGCAATCTCCAGGTACCCAAGTTTTTGAAACCTTTTGATTTTTAAAAATAAATTTATTTACAATATTCATCTCAAAATAAAATTTTTTTTTGTTTAAATTACTTTAATATCAAGCGGTCCGCCATTAGACATTTCTTCTAGTTCCCTTCAAACATTTTTTATAAGAATTTTAATTTTTGAATATTCTACATATTTAATTTTTATAAAATAATTAATTATTTTTTAGTTTAAAATTTTGATTTTCTTTTTCTAATTTTTCTTTTACTAATTAATAAAACATGAAACAAATTTTTCATTAAATACCTAATTTGTGCAGCACTCATGGGCTTTCCCTCCCCCCTTATTTCAATGACGGGAATGGAATCTTCTCGTTTTTTTGGCTTATCTTCTACTACTTTGGCATTTGCTTCTTGAAGTTTTAAAGTGGCCAATGAGGGAATTTCCGTTGAAAATACCAAATCTTATAAATAATTTTAATAAATTATAATATTTTACTTAGATGTATATTTTATGAATGAAAATGAACAAACATCGAACCTTTACTAATAATAATTAAGAAATATTCAAATTGAATGAATCTTGACAGTTCAAAGATTTTTATATTTACTTAGGTAATTTATTTCTCAAAATTTATAAAAATAAATTTGTTTAACAAGACTACCATTGATAATTAGTGTTTCGACCTTCCGTGGAGGGAGTAATTAATCGAGAGAGGGTAATTACACGAGGTTTGACATTTGAACGTGTTTTAGGGCATTTGTTGGGGGGTAATTATTGTTTCAATCTATCGTTGGATGGGGTAATTAATGGAAGTGGGGTAATTATTTGAGGGAGGGCAATTAATACAGGTTATACGGTATTTACTTTTTAATAATCACTTAATTGAATAACATTTGCCACTAAAAATTTTTTTAATTTATAATACTAACCTGCTAGTAGTAACACAATTATTATTAAAATTTTTTTATTAATATTAAAATTAACTCCAAAAGCATATTTAATCATATTTAAATTTTTATATAAATTAATAAATATACAATTATTTAATAATTTAGTTTAATTAATAATTAATTAATAATTTTATATAAATTAATAAATTTGTTTAAATAAAATAAATCTAAACAAATTAATCTTTTTTAAAATACCCCATAAAATACCCCATAAATAAAATATATATATAAAGCTTTGTGAATGTGAATGAATAAAAGAAATGGATTAAAGCAAAAAAAAATCCCGCACATAATCCAAACAACAATGGATGACCTTCACCGAATAAATGTTTTTTTATTTTTTTTATTGACAGCTATTTAGTAGATGGTTGTGGAAAGGAGTCGATCTAAATTGATTTAGACATTAAGGATTTACTATATTTGGGTGATATACAGAGCAGACATGCACGAAACTCCAAAATTTTTTTAGACGAAACGAAACGAAACAAAATTTTTTAAAAATCGTTTCGTTAACAAAACGAGACGAAACAGTAGAAATTTAGCGAAACGATATACGAAACGAAACTGAACATTGTAATTTTCAAAAAAATTAAAAAAACGGTTTTATTTTCTTAATTATTTTTTAAACACGTTAAGACCTATATATAATCTCATAGCTTTGTGTGACCGTAAATTTTGGTCCCAAGCTCCAAAATTTTCGCGTGTTTCCTCCTTTTATTCAAAAATATTTTATTTAGAATTTTAACTTTAATTAATTTAAATCATTGAAATTATTTATTTTCTCCTCTAATATGTATTTTATTTTTCTTACACAATTCCTGCTGGATTAAGTTGATTGGGAAGTCCTGAAATTTAAAATTAAATATTAAATGTTTGTTTTCTTGTTTGTTTTTTGCTGGTTTTTAAAATATTATTGCAAAAAGTTTAAGTATTTTTAAAAATAATTATCTTCTTTTTTAAAAAATTTTATTGAATATCCTTACAGTTTATGAAAATACTCACCTCCAGGAAGACCTCCCAAAGGCAACTGTGGACCTCCCAGAGGAAACTGTGATTGATATGGAGGATATTGAGGAATATTGCCAATTCCAGAATTAAATAAAGGAAAATTTTGGTATGGAAAGAAAGGATTGGTTTGTGGAGGAATAAAGTAAGGAGAACGTAGAAAATAATTGTTGAATGGAGGTGGTTGATAAAAGTTATTAATAAATGGATTTTGTTGTGGTGGAAAACTTGGAAGGTTGAAAGGTTGTTGTTGAGGAAGTAATCCATTTCCAATTAGGCCTAGTCCTCCACCTAAAATTTACAAGATAAAATATAATTTTTGTTAAATTTTTTATCTAACCGATTGGTGGTTGTTGCTGTTGCAGTCCCCAAAGTCCTGAATATGTAAATAAACCTATATTACAATGGCATGCTTTATTGAAATGGAACTTTGGAACTTTTTACTAGGATGGCAACATAACAAATATAAAAAAAGAGAAAGACATGTTATTGTAATATAGATAATATATAATTTTAGTTATTAAATTAATATTTAAATATTTTAATATTAAAATCTCTTTTAGTTAAATATTTAAATTAAATTTAAACCAAGTTTTGGAACCAATTCTTTAGTAGAAATTTCACTATCAGCCGAGGCTGATTTTATTTGCTCCTCATTATTACCATTTATTAAAATGATAAATAAAGTTAAATATATAATTGTTGATTTAATAAACATTTTTTTAATTTTAATTAATCTTAATTACTTATTTAAATAAAAATACTAAAAGAATTATAATATTTCAAAAAATAAATATTTTAGAATTATTAATTTTCACTTCTACTATCGTTAACTTATACAACGGTAGAGGTAGAAGAAAAATTCGTTTTAAAAAATCAGCGATTAAATATTTTTTGACAACCATTTCTTTAAATAGTTAGGTTTGTGCCATTCAATTTTATTTCTCTGAATCACCTCTACCAACATCTAAAAACAAAAATAATATATTTTCTGAATCATTAATAAATTTCACTTTTATTTTTAATAATTTTTAAAAATAATTCTAAATGGCATTTAAATAATTAAAAAAAATTTTTTTTTAAATACATGAGTAATAATTAAATTAAATATAAAAATATTTATTAAATTTAAAATTAATTTATTATTTTTTAGATTTTTATTTTCCTTAAATAAAACAATTTTTGCATGTTAAAATAAATAAAAGAATAATATTTCTTTTATTTTTTTAACAAAAAAGCCTTAAAAAGAAATTTTTTTAATTTTAAATAATTTATTCAGACAAAAAATTTAAATAACAAAGAAAAAATAAAAATTAAAAATTGTAAAATTAATTGTAATATCTTTTTAAATAAATATTTTTAACAATTAAGCACAAAACGAATGTAGAAATTATGTCGAAAAAATTATCAAAATTATTTCTTGGCGACAAATTGAATATTTTTTTCAATTAGAAATACTTTTTGGTGTGGATTGCCTGTAAAAATTTTTTTAATTTTTAAAAATTTTTTCAAAAATTTTTAGAGAAAATTTAACAAGTAATCAAAGTTAAATAAATTAATAATTTAATAGAATCAAATAAATAATAAAAGAAATGGAAAATTTAATTTTTTTTTTTTAAATAAATTTTTTTTAAATTATTTAAGATTAAAAACTATTGCCAAATTAGTGTCAAAAATCCAATTTTATTTTCATCTGTATATTACAAAAAAATAAATAAAATATTATGAAATAATAAATTAAAAATAAATATTTATTATTGCATCATTTATGCACTTTTATTTATTTATTTTATCGCTATTCACGTGAATTTAATTAATAATTAAGCAACAAAAGTGCAAAATAAAATTTATTTTGAAATATTTAAAAAGCCAATATATAGGCAAATTAAAAGGGAATGGATAGCAGTGTTTAATTAATTAAATATTAAAAATCAGACTAGACATTTAAAATTATTATTTAAAATAATTTAATATAATTTAAATTAATTAGTGAATATTTTCAGAAAAAAATTCTTCTTTTAAAAAATAATTATTCTTAATTTAAAAAATGTCGACTAAATTGTTATTTTATTTATTAATATTTATATTTTTCAAACTAACAATAAATGTAAAATTAAATAATTTAAAATTACCCAATCCAACAAACTCTTCATTTGGTATATCTTTAAATTTAATTTAATAATTAAATATTTTTTTAAAATTAAGCTGGAATAAACGAAAATAATTTAAAAGAGAAATATTTCCAAGCATTTTTATTAGAAAATAATAAAAATAAAATTAGAGAAATTTCAACATTTTTATTAAATAAAAATATTTTGGAAAAAATATTTAAAATTTTAAAAACAAAAAATCAAATAAAAAATAAAAATATTTTGGAAGAAGAAAAAGAAAATTTGGAAATAATTAATTTAGAAATGGAAAAATATAAAAAATTTTTAGAAAAAAATGAAAATGAAATAAAAATTAATTTTGAAATATTTTTGGATTTAATTGAGTTTGAAAGTGTTTTTGAAGTTTTTGAAACAGAAATTAATTTTATATTTAAATTAAAAATTGTTAAAGAAAAATTATTAAAATTTAGAAAAAATTTAAATAAATCGGAGGAAAATGAGGAAATTAAAAATAAATTAATTGAAAAAGAATTTAAATTTATTTTGGAAGAATTACATTTTAAAAGGCTTTTTTTATGCTTAAAATTAAAAAAATATTTATTTATTTTTTTAGATTAGAAAAATTTTTTCCTGATATTTTTAGAAGAGCAATAAATTTAAATAAAAATAAAAATAATGGAGAATTAAATATAAAAGAATTTTTGGAATTAAAAAATAAAATTAGAAATGTTATTGGAAATTTATTTTATGAAAATTTTGAATTAAATGACCCTTTGCTTTTTAGAATTGGTATTTAAAATAAATTTAAAAATTATTTTTAAATTAATTTTTAACAGATTTGGTGGAAAATAAAGAAAAAATTGAACGTTTTATTAAATTATTTTCATATCCGGTAAAGATGAATGAAGTCCAAAGAACTTTGAGAACTTTAATGTTTAGCCATTTATTTGGAAATATTTTTATAAAAATTTTAAAAGGAGATGAGAAAAAAATAAAAAAAGTTTGGGATAATAATTTTAAACCTTTTATTCCGAGTTTATATTCTGATGATAGAAAAGGAATGGAAGCAGCTTTAGATAAATTTGAAAAACAAAAAATTGAAGGAATAAATTTATTAGAATTAAAAGAAGAAATTAAAAAAGAAATTAAAAATGAATTAATTGAATTATGGGAAAATAAAAATGAGGATGATGGAGGGTATAAAAAATTAAAACAATTATTTGTAAAACATAATGGTGCTAGAACTAACGTTTTATTTTTATTTCCACTTAAACGTGAAGATGGTGGTGTATTATATGGAGCGGAGAAAAGAATGCATCCACTTATTTATATTGGTTAATTTTAATATTTAATAAAAGATTTGATAGACTAGTTTTGGTATCCGGTTATATCCATGGTTAGTTTTTCAACGATTTTCATCTTTGAAATTCTAAAATTGCTAAAGAATCGGCTAAAAAGCCGTATCCGAATCTAAAGAATCGGCTAAAAAAGATATCTCTAGACAATTTTTGGCCAACTTTTTAATCTTAACCTTAAATATATATTTCAGATAATGAAGAATTTGATAATTGGATAATCTCAACATATTATTTAATTCTTGGGGGAAAAGATTTTTTAAATTTAGAGCAACGTTCAACATTAGCTAATATATTAATTCAAGTAAAATGGGTAGATAAAAATATTAAAGAAAAATCAAATCCAACAGAATGGAGTGCTGTTCGTTCAATGATTATGGGAGCAGTTGATAAAATGTCATCTAAAAATTTAAGTTATAATCAACCAGAAGCAAATATTTTATTAAATATGCTTGGGAAATTGATAAATTTAATTAAAAATATAGAAATTAAATTTATTGAAATAATGAATGTTTTGAAGGAAGAATTTAATAGTTTATTATTATTAAATAATCCGAGTGAAGTTATTCCTATTTTAAATAAAAAAGAAAATAAAAAATTTATTTGTGAATTACATAAAGAAACAATTAATTATTTAATAAATATTAATGAAGAATTCAAAGAAAAAATTGAAAGTATTTAATTATAAACATTTTTTAAAATTTTATTTTAAAGTCTTAATTTACATCCACCCATACTTAAGTGGAAAAAGTAAATTTTTATTTAAAGTGAATTTTTATATGTCCTTTTTGGTTGGAAAATAAACAAACCCAAAGTCCTCCTTTCATGTCTAGAAACCTGAAAATCTTGATTTATTAGACGAAAGGCATAAATAAATGGTTATGGAAAGGGGAAAAAATGATTGTAAAAGTGTATGTTCCCAAGGAAAATAGTCCGCATAAAAATTTTTGGGATATTAAAAATATTAAAATCACCATATTAAAATATTAAAAAAAATATTTTAAATTTTATTAAAAGAATTTTCTGATTTTTTAAGACTTAAATTCAAATGAAATTGATAAATTAAATTGGCTCTATGGAAATAAGAAAGATAAAATGGTAAAGAGTATTTTAAATAATTTATTTAAATTAATTATTTCTTTAGATTCTAAGAACGTGTCGACGAGATGGCGATTTTGTTTCTAGTAAATTATTTATTAAAATTTAAATTAAAAATTAAATTTATGACAAAATTGATATTAGAAATTTTATTCTTAGCAAAAGTGAAGTTAAATTTTATGAAACTGCTCGATCTTTCCATATCTGACCGGGCTATAATGGAAACCTTATCTTAATAATATAATTAATAAATTATTAATTATTAAAATTTTTTTTTACAAAAATATTTTTTAGTTGAAAGTGAACCACATTTAATTTTTATTGAACATTTAATAAGTGACGAAGAAATGGACAAATTATTATATTTAAAAGCAGCATTTATGTATTATGATGACATAATAATTAAATTCCAAAAATTAAAATCCAAAATTTACGAAAACTTTAACGATGAAATGGAAAAAATTTTGTCAATTAAAATGGTAGATGATAATAATAAATTAATTGAAATGATTGATGAAAAACACAAATTTATTGAGAGAATGATTAAAGAAAAAAATCCTTTGAAAATTGTTTTTCCTCTATGGATAAATCAAATAAATGAATATATTAGAGAGGTAAAGATTACAAAATATATCAAAAAAATATCACAAAATATTTTCGTTCAAAGTGAAAAATTGCTAGCCTTTATGCAAAAGACATTTAAAAAATTTTTGATTTAAATTAAATAGTAGAATTTAGCATTTTCTAATTTTTAATTGTTAACTCAATTGAATTTTAATTTTAATCCTTTATAGATTAATTCACTCGATAATGAAACCAAAATAAAAAAGGAGGAAAATATTTATTATAATTATTTTTATTGGATAATTGGCTATTCATTAAATTTGAATAAATTCCTTTGCACCTTTAATCTTGAAAATGTTATAAAATTGAAGGAAACGCTTTTACGATTAATGGGCGAGGAGTTATTACAAAAGCTTGAATATGTTCAGCCATATACTTTATATATTAGTTAGTTTTGATTGAAAATTTAAATTTCAAAAAAATATATATATAAAGGAAAATTAATAATAAAAAAAATATGAAAATATTCTCTGTCTCAATCTTTCTCAAAAATTATTCTAATACAAATTAAAACTAAATAAAGAATATTTTACTGTCAAATTTGATTAGAAAATTACTTTTCTGTCACAATCTTTAATTAAAATATTAAATTATATTGTCACTATAACATACGGAAATCCAAAAATATCGTACATTGTTGGCCATTGGGTGAGAGGGATAACTAAGTTTAGTGTACCTACGATTTTTAAACTCAAAAAAGGATATCAAAAAACTAAGTTCAACTTTATAGTTAAACAAAAAATAATCAGCTATAATGTGAAAAATAATTAAAATTATTTATAAAGCTTAATTTTTAAAGATATTTTGCTCCCAGAAATGCAATTTAGTCTTTATCAACAATTTTTATTAAACAAAAAAGGATCACAAAAAGCAATAGAGGCCGAATTGCGTATTTCACTTTCATTTTTGGACAGTCGAGTAAAACAACTAGAAACTCAAGCAGTAGATTTATTTAGAAATTCTGGACAAAATATTGGTGAAATGAAACGAATGATTTTGGGGTGTATTGGATCAAATGCAATGAGTTTTGAAAATTATTTCCTCGAATCTTTAGATTCAAATAGTAATTCTATGTTAAAAAGTATTTGTCTTTTAATAAAAAATATGTGGATAATAATTCAAAGAATAAATAAATATAATTTAAAAACAGAATATTTTGGACAAATAATTAAAGAAATTAAGAAAATAAAAACAAAAAGAGAATTTAAAGAAAAAATTATTTTTGAAGATTTGTTGAATTGGGAGGGGAAAGAATGTGAAGATAAAGAAGAACAAAAAATAACATTTTTGGAACAACGTGTACTTTTACAAAATGAACACAAAAATTTTTTTGAAAATAATAAAATTATTTTATTAGAAATTCCGGGAATTAAAACTCGTTTAGAAGAATTAATTCCAAATTTTAAATTAAAATATTTTATTAAAAATAATATTTTTGATAATAATTTTGAATTAAATGAACATTTTTATTCAATTATTTTTAGAGAAAATAAAAATATTTTTCTTCAAAATATTTTGGGAATTAAATATTTTATTTGTGGAAAAAATATAAATAATGAAATTAAAAATTTAAAAGAAGAAAAAGAATTAGAAAAAAATTTATTAAATAAATTGGAAGGAATTTGGGCAGAAATTAGGCCTAAAATTTCTAGTAAATACGATTCTTTATTTGAAATGGAATTGGAAGAATTAGAAAATGAAGAAAAAGAAATATTAATTTATTTAAAGGAGGAAGTAAATAAAATATATTTTTTAATTAAAAATAAAAAAATAATTGAATGGATTGATGATAAAGATGATGAAGAAAAAAGTTTTATAAAATTTAATGAATGGTTAAATGATTTGATGTTTAATGAATTTAAAAAATTAATTTTAGAAAAAGATTTTGGAAAGGGTTATATAGAAGGTAAATTATAGAATTAAAAATATGTTTTTGAAAAATCTTTGTATATCCAATATTAATCCGAAAATTTTTGGGTTTAGAATTTTTGTCTCGACGAAATGAGAATATTCCATACAAAGGTTTGGAATATTTTACGATTTTCAGAGGGCTAGTTTCAAGAAAACTATTTACATGCAAGAAACCTTTCTTATCATAAAGGATCAAAACATAATCATCACCTCTGATCCCAGAGTCTTAACCTATTCTGTTATACACTTAAATTTGATTAGAAGTCCCAGAATATAGAAGCACCCGATAAGATTTATTTTCCTTAATTTATCAATTTTAAATTATCAATTTTAATATATATTAAACATTTAAGTACTTAAAAATGAAAAGGCAAAAGAACATTTAAACGATTTATTCGGATCAACTGATTGGGTAAATGAAATTATTAAAATTTTGGAAAGTTTAGAAATTGAAGAAGAAAAAGAAAATTTTGAAAAAATTTCGATGGTTGAGGATAAAGAGAATAATGAGTTAATTAAATTTGATCCTGAAAAAGAAAATACTCAAGCAAATACAGAAATTGAAGATTTATTAATTGAAAATAAAAATAAATTAAAAAATGAAGAGAAAGCAGAAAATTTGGTTTTTAAATTTTATTTTTTCAATTTTTTAATTATTTTGTTTAGCTACAAAAAATATATGATGAAGAAATAATTAAAAATAATAATTTATTAAAAGATGAATTTGTTAATAAATTATTTTTGGGAAATGAAAAAGAGACTTTAGATAATAAATTGGCAAACAAATTAATGCTTGATAAATGGGTAAATTAATTAATTTGAAAAAAATTTATGTAAAGCATATAACTATTTAATTAGTAAGGCTGTGCAGTAGGCAGCGTGGTGTAGTCCGGTCTAATGAAGATGCTGGTTCGCTCCCAGCCGCCGAATAACCTTTTGCACTATCTAAAGGAGAGAAATAGCTACCGCCCAGCTGCTTTACCTTAAAAAAATAAAAACAATACTTCTGGAATAAATAATTTAAAAATGGAGAGCATCTTAAATATAGACTTTTTAATTATTTAATGTCATACTTTATCCCAATACTTTATACCTTTTGACATACTAATTTTTTCATTTCAAGCCTTTCCAAATAATTTTAATTAGTTAAAATTATTATTTTTTCATTTAGAATAAAGATGATAAACGGATATCTCGTTTATTAATTACAAATATTGTTAATATCAAAATAATTGAAGATTATTCTAAAATTGAAGGAATTATTTTGTTGGAAAGTGAATTTCTTGAAGAAGATGACAAAATAAATTTAATAAATAATTATTTGTTTGGAAATTATTCGTGTAATGTAAATGAAAGAAATAAATGTTTAGATTCTTCTATTTATTGCTTTTTATGCCAAGTATTTTTAATTAATTAACATAATAATTTTAATTTTTTAAAGAATATTTTAATTAAAAATTTATACAAAACATTTATTGGACGTCCTTTAATTAAATTTAAATTAAATAATTTAAACATAAATATTAAATTTGTTTTAATTCCAAAGTATGTAAATAAATTAATTGAGAGTTTTGAAAAAACAAAAAGATTTACTTTTATTAATAAAGCTATCCAAATATTTTTAGAAAAATCTTTGAATGTTTTAAATCCAAAAGATGTTGTAACTAATGATTTTGTTTTTAATTTCTCTGGTATGTTTTTAATTAAAAAATAATTTATTTAATATTTGCTTACAATCTTTTAAAGAAATATTTATTTAAAATAAGGAAAAAATAAATGATAATTTTTAAAATAAAAAAATAGTAGTTAATAATTTATGGTAATTATTGTAAGATATTTTAGTAAGGTATCCAAAATGGTTTCAGAAAATAGGCATGGTCATATAGAATTAATCTTGAAAGCTTCCCGAAACAAAATTATACATAGAACAGTCTGATTAATCTAATTTAATTTTTATATAATATGTATGTAAGATAGCCGGAAAGTTTACCGGCCTTTAAATAAAATTAAGAAATTCAAAATTTAAACAAAATTTTATCTAGATTATCGTTCATCCCAAAAAATGATGCAGTTATACAATGTTTCTAATAATGTTTCAAAAGAACGTTATAAAATATTATTTGTTATACTTCGATTATGGTGTAAAAGTAATTTTAAATTAAAAACAATATTATTAAACAAAAAATATTTTTAGAAAATTCAATTTTTGGAAATAAATTTGGATTTTTAAATAATAATGCTTTAATTGTTTTGACATATTATTTAATTAATAAAAATCAGAATATGTCATTTAGAAAAATTTTGGAAGAATTTCATAAAATTTTTGAAGAAGAATTTTTAATAAAAATTTTGGAAAAAGAGAAAAATGAAATTATTTGGGATTTGGAAAGAGAGAAAGAATTTAGACAAATGGAATCTTTAAATGAAAAAAATGAGAATCCAGGATGGACAATATTAACTTTGGGATTTCCAAAATATAATTCCTTAATTAACATAAATAAATCAACAGCAAAAATAATTAAATTAATTAATAAATTAGGTTTTCTTTTTTAAAAATTAAAAAATAATTTATCTTTGTTTTTTGAGGGTTTGATAAATTAACAAGTTCAAAGAAGGAAATTTTGGAAGGTTCTGATGAAGAAATTTTAACTAAAAAATGGTTGGATTGGTTAGGGAATGAAAAATTATTTTCTCTTTTGGTCAGTAAATTATTAAATTAAATTAATTATTAAATTAATTAATTTATTAAAAATTTGGGAAATTTACCTTAATAAAAACTAATAAAAAATAAATATGAAAATATTAACAAAATTATAAAATTTAATAAATGATCACCCAAAAAGATTCATAGTTCGCTAATGTTATTAACTTTAATTAGTTATTATCAATTACTGTATTATCAGAGAAACAAAAATTGAATATAAACATGTGTCTAATTATCATTTAAATTTTAATTTTTTAGTATGAACACTTTCTACTAATTAATTGCTCTTATTTACCCTCTTCTCTACATGGATATAAATTTTGTGAATTTGTTGAAACACAATTGCGAATAGAATTAATGGAAAATATTGAAAAAGTGGATGAAATAGAATATTGTCATGTTAAACCTTTAAAATTATTAAATTATAAAGAGTGCCCGAAAGAAATGGGAAAGAAATTAAAAGTATTTTTGGAATCAAAATTAAATAATTATTTATTTTTTAGGGTTGGATATGTACAAGTTGGTTAATTGGAATTAAATTGAAAAATATATTGGAAATAAATAGAGAAGAATTAGATAAAGAAGTAAAAACAGTTAAAGAAAATTTGAAAAATAATTATTTAAATGAACTTGAAAATATATTAGTTGCACCTTTAAAAGAAGATTTTGTTATTGGAATTAAATATATCAAAAAAGATAATTTACCTAATTGGTGAAAAATAAAATTGAGAAATTACATACATTTATTTTAAAGAATTTTATTTTTATTCTCTAAATTGTATTATTAAAATTTAAATTTTTGTTTTATTTAAAATTATGAAATAGTTGATAAATAAATATATTGCAAAATTTTTTAAAATTTTTATAATTATCTAAATTTATTAAAATATAAATACTTATCCAACTTATCCAAGGGGCTATAAAAGTTTATAGCCAGAATATTTTTCAAGGAATATAATAATTAAAAAAAATTTTTTTTAATTTTTGTAAAAATATTTTTCTAAAAATTTAAAAAATTTTCTTGGTTGATTTGATAAAATTATTGAAAAATTTTAATTTTATTTCAAAAATTGTTAATTTTTGGTTTAAATGATAATTTTTCGAAAAACATCCAAAAGAGGTTACAGCTCAGTTTAGAGCGAAAAACGCCAAAATAGGTTAAATAAGGGATAAAACTCTTCGTGAACAAAGGATTTTAGAAAAATAATAAAGGATTAACTAAAAATCCGATCCCTAATGATTACAAGAACTCAAAAAACACCATATCCTTCTAGTCAAAACTATATTTCAATTAAATTCTTCCACCTAATCCCTTTAATTTTATTGTTATTTACTCATCTAAATTAATAAACAATTACACGATTAACAGATTTGAGAAAAAATTTAAATTATAAAAAAAGTTGAAATGGAAAGGAAAATATATTCAAAATATTCAAAAAAGTGGGACAGAGAAGAAAAATTACTTTAGATTGTTTTTTGAAAATAATAATTAACTCTAAAATATATTTAATTAATTATTATAATCATCTATTTCTTTATTATATATAATTTTAATCCCGCCATCAATAAAATCCTCATTCAACGCAAATATCTTTTTAAGACTATATGAGACATCCAAGGAGACTTTAATTATTGCATTAAGTTCTAAAATATTGGATCTAAAATTAAAGGATTAAATTTGATAAATTATTAAATAATCAGTTAGCTTATGATTATATATAATCCCTGTCGGCGCCTTGGATCTTAATAGTCCGACTATACCCCAATCTCCTTTGTTTAATCCGTTCCAACTTGACCCCAACTACAATTTAATTTCTATTAATTTTGTTTAGCGATCTAAACTTCCTGGCCAAATTTCTTTTTGTGCACTTTAGCCTATTTTGTAACTCTTGATGGCTTTGTCACATTTATTTTAGGATTATTTTTAGAATTGACGTAAATGCAAACTTTTGTAATATTGAAATCAAAATTGATGCTGGTTCAATAATTTCAATTTCAAATTCTTTTGTTAACGCTTTCTTCTCATTTAAATTTAAACTCAATAAAGCGTTTACAACGAAAGTTGTTAATGTCCAATAAGAAATTTGGGAAATAATTAAAAAAGAATTTTCCAAATCTTTAATAGAAGAATTTTCAATTAAATTGAACATGTTTTTTAAATCAAAAGCTATTGATTGTTCTTCTAGTAAAAGCATCATTTGAAAGACATCAATAAATTCATCTTTATATCTTTTCTGCATTGCTTTATTAATAATATGATCCAAAGATGTTTCTTGAAAATTCACAAAATTTTTGTGAACAAAGCAAACAAGCAGTAAAATTAAAGTATGTATCTGTTTGTAGGTATATTCTGAAAATTTTTTTATGATTTTTAACTTTTGGTTAGTATTTTTAAGGAGGCAATAGTGATGACTAACTTGATATTAATAGGATGTAAAAAATCTCAAAATATTCAAATATCTGAAATGACCTGACCTGACTTTTTTCTCAACTTGATCTCAAAATATTGATCTCAAAATATTGATCTCAAAATATTCAACCTGATCTCAAATATTCAAATATCTGAAATGATCCGACTTGACTTTTTTCTCAACTTATCCCATCGTCTCTAATTTATTAAAATATAGAAAGAAAGGATATTGTATTAAATTAGAAATTATTAACAAACTTTGAGGATGTGGAGGAATAATTCGGAAATTATTGCCTGATTTGGATGCTGAGGTCACTTAAGAGAATTTTTTAAATAAATTAAAATTATATTAAAAAAATAATTTATTAATTTAAAATATTATTATTTAAAATTTATATATATATTTTGTTATATTCTCTACCTATTTTTCCTTTTCCATTATTTAAACTCGATTTTTTAAATAAATTAAACTTTTCATTATTTAAATTTTTAAATTGAATATTTGGACATTTAAATGATTTTATAGAAAGATTTTGATGGTTTGAATTGCCAACTTGACTATTAAATGTTATTAATTGAATGCCAGGAAGTGTTGCTAAATTTGATTAGAAGAGATTAGATGCGCCTAATTAATTTTTTAAAATTTAAATTACCGGAAAGAGTGAATTGCTGAAAATTTGCAATGAAAATTCCAAAGCAAAATAAAAGCAAAATTTTCAAAAAATTCATTTTCTAAAATAAATATTAACTTATGTATTAGCTATTTTTATTTGAGAAATTAATTTAAAAATAAATTTATATTTAAATAAGGTATTTTTATAAAATCATTTCAAAATTCTTAAAATTATTTTTGTCGTTTTTTTATTCATTTATTGACTGTCGGTGTCGGTCTCTTTAAAAGCAAAAAATATAGCTTGCACTTTTTCTAAATTTTATAGTCAACAATTGTAACGGAAATAGACAAAAATACAAGTGCAGTCGTTTGAGAAATTGTAAAACAATTTCACAAAAAAGTATTTAATTGAAAATAAAATTAAATAATTAAAGATTTCAAAATTGAAAGTTTTTTAAACTTTAAAGTTAAACTTTTAATAAAATGTTAATAAATAATTGCTTAACAAAAATTTCAACATAAATTACAAATTGGTCCACAATATTTTTTAATAATATCCTCATCCCAAAAACCATCATATCCTTCACAAAATCCTTTACTTTTCCATATTTTACAACTGAGAATTTTTAAAATTATTAAAAAGTAATTAAATAATTTTAATAAAAATCTGAATTTTAAAAATAAAATATAAACCGATGTTGATATCCAGGCATGGTTTTGCAATCCTCGTCATCGTTTTTATTTTTTATTTTTTTATTTTTACAAATGTCTTCACATTGATCCACCATAAAATTTTTGTAAGACTAAAATAAGAGATGGATTTATTTTTCTCCATGAAAATATTTACATTTTAAATTAGATAGAAGGTAGAAAAGTTCGAACTCGGTTTTCGTGTTTTTGATGTTTTTACTTATATTTAATTTTTGAATTGAATTTTTCGAATTATTAGTTACTGGCTAAAAAATAAGTAGTATTCATTGTATTATAAATAAACATCTTTAGTATTTTTGTTTCGCATCAGATACTTAATCTCGATAAAGTGTCAGAATTGAGAGGCGGGGGATATATATATTATTTATTTTTTTAAATTAAGTAAAGGTATAAAAAAATAGAAAACCCCCTAAATAGGCCTACATTCGATATAACAAAAATACAATGTATATTACAGATGCTTTCTTATAATTTATAATACTTTTACAACCCACATCATCGTCACATAAAGTGTCAGAAACTGTTGAACAACCATCCCATTTATTTGAAGCAATATTATTTTTAAATTTAAGAAATAAAAATAATAAAAATATTTGAATAAATTTAAATTTAATTATTTGTTTCATTAAAAGAAAATTCTCTACTTTAAATGAATGTTTCTAAATTTTGGATGACGAGTTGATTATTTTCTTTTTTAGTAGAGCAATAAAGGATTTTATTTTTGAGTTTGCTCAACTTTACTTGGAAAAAAGGAATTCAAATTTAGATAGAAAAAAATAAATTTATTGGAGAGAACAATAAATGATTTTTAAAATATTTTTAGATAAAGTGCAGATTGTGACAGATTCACGTAATTATTTGTTTTTACTAAAATTTTTAAAATAATTGTAAATTAATTGTGAGAGTTGTTGAAGATATGTAGTTTTTAAATCAGTCCATTAATTTATTTTCGTTCTTAACTTTAATCCTATTTGTTTTTTAATTATTTTGTTAAAAATTCTAAATTTTTCTTTGTCAACTTTGCTAGTCTGGATAATTATTTATGAATAATGTTTGAAAATTATTCTTCAACCTTTCTTTTTAATAAATATCACTATAAATGTTATATTTTATTTTTCATTTTAAATATATTTAATAATTTTATAATACTAAAAATATTTGCAAAAGATTAGGATGTTTAAACATTTTAAGATGAAAAATCAACTGAAGAGAAATTTATTAAAAATAATTAAAATTTTATATATTTAATTGCAATTTTTAAAAATAATTTCCAAATATTTAATTTTCAAAAATTCAATATCATCCTACCATTTTTCAGTTCTCTAATAAATAAGAAAAACATGAAGAATTAACGTAAAAATTGATTTTAGCTAATAATCGATCTACTCCTTGTTTTTATTATTTGTTGATCTTGTCGGCTTTTTGCCAATTGTCCAATAAAAGCGAAAAAATATTTGGATCTAATAGATTTAAAGTTAACGTTAAAAAGCTATGGATGACGCCTGCCACATTAATATAGTCAATTAGGAATTATTTTAAAAGAAAAATAAGAAGAAAAAAATTTATAAAGAAATGCTTGTGTTGTTTTTATTTGATAATAAATTTATATTTTTTTGCAAGTTTTTATTTTAATTAAAGTACAAATTAAATTGAGAAATCAATTCTCTTGTAGTTATTATAAAAATAATCTCTCCACGTATAGTATACTTATGAGGATTTAAGGGGATTTCCTAGAAGGATTTATACAGAGGGATTATATAGGGAGTATATATTAGGGGGATTTAGGGGGATTTTGATTTATAATTTATTATTCTACATATACTTAGTGGGATTTATTCAAGTTTAATACCTTCAAGTTTAATCCATTTCAAAACACTTCAACTACTTTTTAAGTTAAAATATTTTCAAAATGCGTAATGTCCTTTCACAAAGATTCCGCCGTCATCAAGTCACAGAAAGAAATGAGACAACCATTGTTAAAAAATCTGATTCTTCTTCAAATACAGGAGGAGAATCGTCTGGACCTAAAGAGTATAGCAGGTACTAAGTTTCTTTTTAAAATTAAAAAGTTAAAATATTATTGGGAATTAAATTAAAATATTAAAAAAAAATTTTTAAATAATTAAGACGTTCATCTATGCGTGATGAAATTAATGTTGAACAAAGTTATTCTGAATCTAGCGACGCCCCACGGATATTACATACGACACAATCTTTAAATGTAATATTATCATAAATTTACACAAAAATTCTTCAAAATTAACTAAATAAAAATATATTTGTTTCTAAAGGATGCCAGAACTACCCCACAATCATCAATGCCTGCAAAATATTCTAGAGAATATCCAAGTATTTTGCGTGAACAAAATTTAACAAAAGAGAAGAAAAACTATAGGCATTCAATTATGATACCTATTCAAAGAACGAATAAAGTCGGAAATTAAAATTGTTTTTTTGAAATAAAATTATACATACAAACTTAATTTTTAAAAAATTATTTTTTAATATACTTAGGAAATTATTGATAAGGAACAAAGTGAAAACTTTCTTCGAAGGCAACAACAAAAACTATATAAATTACGTGGTGAAAGTTTAAGAAAATTTGGCCAAACAAATACTCCTCAAGGATTAGATGAACAACAAAGAAGGGCTAGGTAGAAAAAAATATACTATTTGTTTAATTGGAATATTTGGATTTAGTTTCAAATTGTAGACAAAAATAAAAATTTTTATTTATACAGGCAGCACGCATCGCTACCACCAATGGGCCGACAGAATCAATATCCCCAAGAAAATATCCCTCACCAACTACCTTTTGAGGTAAAAAATAGTAAATTATTATATTAATTTTATTATTTTTAATTATTATTTTAAAAAATTAAGTTGATAATTGATCGTTATCCTCCACAACTTGTTCGCAGTATTGATAAAACAAAACAATTTGATATATGGACTGTCTCTGATAGCGGGATATATCATAAAAGACATGAATTCCCACAAGAATCTTCTTTTGGGTTTTCTCCCTTTCCTGTGCATGGTCCTTTTATGGCAGAGGAATTGATGCTTGAACAAGAGGTAAACAAATATTAGAAATTAAAAAATTATTTTGGACCTTTACTGTTTTAAAATATAATCAAATTAAATTCCTTAGAATATTTTTAATTTTAATTATTACCTATATAAAAAATAAAATAAAGCAATAATTTAAGTTTTTAATTTTAATTAAGGTTTTAATCTAATTTTGAATTTTTTTTATTTTTTTAAAAGTTAAGCTTTTAATTTTAACTATTATAAAATACTTTTCGTTTTCAAAATTAAATTTAGAGTAAAATTATCCAAAGACAAGAATCAAAAGTTAGTGGCTGTTATGATTCTACTAATCAGTATTATTCTGGTAATGCAAATGGTCAAACTGTTGGGATGTCTTCATCTAACATAATGAGTAGTAGTGATGAATTATGGCATTCTGCTTATGAGTGTTTTCCCCAACAAAAAGTGTTTAAATTAAATTATTTCTCGGAAAATAATTTAAAAATTAAGAAATTTACACCCCAACCACAACCACAACAACCTAAAATTCCACAAATACAAGATGAACAAAAACAACAAACTAATAAAATCCAAACAATGAGTATTTTAGCAGAAGAGAATGGTTCTGAATGTAATATTCAGAAAAACTTTCATTTAAAAAATATTTTGGTAAATAATTTAAATGTCTCTGGATGTTTCTCTGAAAGAATTGTTTTATTTGTTAAAATTCCAAAAATCATGGCAAGCAATATATTAGGGCCACAAATAGAGACTTCAACACTTTCTGAACAACAAGCAAATGAAGAAGTTTTTTTTATTAGTTTTTATAAAAAATTCAAAAATAAAATTGTTTAGGTCCGTCTTTTAATGTATAAAGGTACAAAACCAAAAACAAAATTAATGTCAAAAAGTGTAGAAAGCACTGGGACATTGGAAGGGGAAGAAAACCGAAGAGAATCAGAAAGAGTTGCTTATCCTGTTCGTGTGGAAATTTCTGGTCCAGTACATTTTCTTCATGCAACAAATATGAATGTTATGAATAGTTCAGATAACCCAACAGATTATTCCATTCAAACTTCGATGACTTCAAGTGGGGGAATGAGAGAATTTAGACAGGGAACTTTTGAAACGGTAAAAAATTTTTGAGAGAGGAAGTATTTAATTTAGATATTTTTATGTGTAGAATTTTTCAAAAAATCGTCAAAAAAGTCCCTCTCCAACTAAATGGACACAAACAGAATATCAACCAAAAATTAGTTATAGCTTAAATCCAGAAGAGCTAAACCCCGTAAAAACACAATTTGAAGATAAAAGACAATCACAAGTTATTTCTCCTCCTTTAGAAAAATTTATAGAAAGTGTTTGTGATATACAGCCTATTTTGGCAGAAATTAGCGAAACTATGTGCCATCAAGGTGGTTTTAAAAGCTCTTTAATGTAATGAATTTTAATTCATTTTATTTTTTATAGCGCTTCCGTTCGAGGAAAAATACGAAGAAAGTTACTTAAGGAAGGAAAATAAAAATGGAGGACCTCCACCTATTCCACCTAAAAAGCATTTAATAAAAAAACAACCAAAATATATTTACAAAATAGAAGAAAAAAATAAAAAAAATGAAAAAGAATATTTTAATTCAGAGGAGATTAATAATCAACAAAATCCCTATTTAATTCAAAGCACAAGTCATTGCCATTTGGCAAGAGTTACAGAAATAACACAAGAATGGCTTGTTATGTGTAATAATAAATTGAAAAATGATAATAATAAATATGATGATAATGAAGGAGTAAACTTTTGTAATATAATTATTAAACCTCTATATGGCCAAGAATTTGATAAAGCAGAGTTTTGGACAATGGAATGGAAGGAAAATATTGTAAGAAGAATATTTAAGTTAATTTTTGTTTGAAAAGCTTAATTATACATAAAAACAATAATTTATTCGTTAATTAAACTAAACTACAGTTCTGATTTTGAGAGGCCATTTTAGGTCACAATTAATTAAAAATTCTTTTTATAAACAAATACACCAATGTAAAAATTTAATTGTTTAACAT